CCACATGAATATTAAAATCACCTACAATAATTACTTTATCTGATTTAAGGACTAAACTTGATAAAAACTCTGAGAATTCAGATATAAAATCAGAGTACGGTCCAGGAGTGCGGTACACTATAACAAATAGAACTGGCTGCAATGTTTTCCAGTTAAGAACAAGACTAAGAACAAGGCTTTCAAATGAATTATAATTTAGTTTAGGTTTAGGGTCCATTAAAACGCTCAAATCATATATGGCTGCCACTCCACCTCCTCGGCCTGTGCCTCGAGGAATGTGAGTATTAATATGACTGGGGGGGTGGATTCATTTAGGGTAACATACTCCTCGTGGGACAACCAGGTCTCAGTAAGACAAAGTAAATCAATATCATAATCTGATATTAATTCATTCACTAAAACAGCTTTAGAGGACAGAGACTTGATATTTAACAGCCCACATTTCATTCTCTTATTTAGTGCTACTGAGGAGTTAGTTTTAATTTTTATTAGATTTTTATGTTGAACTCCTCTTGTTTTTATTTCTTTAAATAATTTAGGTGGTCGGGGGACAGACACAGTCTCTGTGGGGTTTTGGGTGGGTGACTGTACCAGTGGAAGAGCAGAGAAGTGTGTAAGACAGCAGCTCTGCTTCCTGGTCCTAACTCTGGACTGTCAGGTTTTAGAAATAAACTTCGCCATATTGCTGGATAAGAGAGCCGCTCCATCCAAAGTGGGATGGATGCCGTCTCTCCTAATCAGACCAGGTTTTCCCCAAAAAGGCTTCCAGTTATCAATGAAGCCCACATCGTTTGCTGGACACCACCTCGACAGCCAGCGGTGGAATGACGACATGCGGCTATACATGTCATCACTGGTCACATTGGGCAGGGGTCCAGAGAAAACTACGGAGTCCGACATTGTCTTAGCATAATTACACACCGACTCCACATTAATCTTAGTGACCTCCGATTGGCGTAAACGGGTGTCATTACCGCCGACGTGGATAACAATCTTACTGTATTTACGTTTATCTTTAGCCAGCAGTTTTAAATTTGATTCAATGTCGCCCGCTCTGGCCCCAGGGATACATTTAACTATGGCCGCTGGCTTCGCTAACTTCACGTTTCTGACTATGGAGCTGCCAATAACCAGAGTTGGTTCCTCAGCGGGTGTATCGCTGAGTGGGGAAAATGTATTGGCAACATGAATGGGTTGGTGGTGACCTGTGGGCTTCGCCGTTTTATGCTGCTTTCCATTTGTCTCGTGAACTCGGAACCGGAGTTGTTCTGGCTTGTACCACTTATTGCGTTCCAGTTTGTCTTTGGGCATTACGAGTCGGAAAGAAGTGCAGCAGCTGTGTTGTTATTGTTTGTGGCTCATCTAAACAAGCTCAATGTGAAATAACGTTTTTCTACAGAAACACTAACATTTCAAGTAATTCCGTTATTGCAAGTCTTACATCTCAATAATATTTTGCCATTTTCGCCTATTTCAATTTCAACAAGTGCTGTGGCGTTTGTCTCGAGCCACCAGGGGCAGTGGCAGGCTAGTGTTATTGTTAGCTACATAAGCCTATTTAGCAAACCAGCTAGAAAACAAAACTTTACTTGTATTGCACGCACAGCAACACTGTGCAATGCATAAATTGGTGACCGGACTAAAGCAGCAATGTAAACAAGTGTGTAGGAGCATTTAAAATCGACATTAAAACGACCAACATGGTACAAATACAAAGAAAATACATCTTAACATGGGCATTGCCATCTTTGTTTTGCGGGTCGTACGTGACCCCCCGTCCAGCTCGGGGTACCCTGAGGAACCCTGAGCTGGACGGCTGAAATTACGACCAAAAGGGGGTGTGTCTCGGTGAAATCTTGCGAGATATGCTGCTTTCCATTTGTCTCGTGAACTCGGAATCCGAGTTGGAAAGTGTAAATCTTGCAGCTATCTCGTGAGATTTCACCAAGACACACCCCCTTTTGGTCGGAATTTCAGCCGTCTAGCTCGGGGTGCCTCAGGGTACCCCGAGCTGGACGGGGGGTCACGTACGACCCGCAAAACAAAGATGGCAGCGCCCATATTAAGATGTATTTTCTTTGTATTTGTACTATGTTAGTCATTTTAATGTCGATTTTAAATGCTCCTACACACTTGTTTACATTGCTGCTTTAGTCCGGTCACCAATTTATGCATTGCACAGTGTTGCTGTGCGTGCAATACAAGTAAAGTTTTGTTTTCGAGCTGGTTTGCTAAATAGGCTAATGTAGCTAACAATAACACTAGCCTGCCACTGCCCCTGGTGGCTCGAGACAAACGCCACAGCACTTGTTGAAATTGAAATAGGTGAAAATGGCAAAATATTATTGAAATGTAACACTTGCAATAACGGAATTACTTGAAATGTTAGTGTTTCTGTAGAAAAACGTATTATTATTTCACATTGAGCTTGTTTAGATGAGCCACAAGCAATAACATGACAGCTGCTGCACTTCTTTCCGACTCGTAATGCCCAAAGACAACTGGAACGCTATAAGTGGTACAAGCCAGGCAATGACGTCACGTTCTCGCGGCAGAACAACTCGGGTTCCGAGTTCACGAGACAAATGGAAAGCAGCAATAGCTGCGAGATTTACACTTTCCAACTCGGATTCCGAGTTCACGAGACAAATGGAAAGCAGCATTAGTCTTCCTTCGCTCAGTCACCCAGCCTCCCTGTCTTCCCGGCTGCTCGGGAACTACCGGGGGATCTACAGATCTAACAGAAGCTACCTTCGGTCGGCCCGCACCGGCTACTGGGGGCTGGCTAACTATAGCGGCTAAAGATATCTCAGTGGTGCGGTACCGTTTCTCTAACTCACTAAGCCTCGCCTCCAGTGCAGTAAATAAACTACATTTAATACAGGTACCATTATCATTAAAGGAGGCAGAGGAATAACTGAACATCTGACACACTGAGCAGGACAGAGGAGAGGGAGAGGGAGAAGCCATAGCTAACTGCTAATGCTAATGAAACTAGCGTGTATGAAAAACTTTGAAAGTAGTGAAAAGTCGCTAAAAGAGGGAGAAACTCCGAGTGCTTAGGTAGAACTAGTCTACGTTTAAATGTTAAGCGGGAAAATAACCGCTGTAACGAGTAAAACAAATTTAGATTTAGCGTTCACTGACAGAGCTACAGCACCAAACAGTGTACACAGAGCAGGAAGTGAACCGGAAATGAGTCTGTACGCTTACCGTAGCACGTCACACACACAACTTCTTCACGGTACATCGGCCTCCTGTACGCGCAGGAGTGTCGAGGAGTGTTTACAGAATGTCATGTTATATCTGCAACTACCCACACTCTTCTCCCTTATACTGTGCTTGCTATTCATATTCATTAGTAAGTTATAATTCTATAACACATCATACAAACATCTAATATTCCCTTAACAGCCCTTTATCAATGTAAGCATAATCAATGTAAGTACGAGTAAACATATTTCTATTCTAGTTAATAATCATACAGGTAAAAATATATAGAGTATAAATCACAGAATATCGCAACAGTCCCCCTTTTGGTCCCATAGAAACTGGGACCACCACCTGAAAGCAAAAATTGATTTATAGCAGACCTTAATTGATTGAACACATGATTATAAACCTAAAATTTTTGTGATTATAAAATCATATTAAAAAATTATATCTAAAAAGTTAAAACGTTATAACTACTTATAACTCCCCCTTTTGGGCTCCTCAATACTGAGCCTACACTAAACATTTTACTGCATTAATCACACATATTATGAAAGATAATCACTGAAAGAAAAATTTGGTTAAGGGTTAAAGTTCTTTTTTTTGTTTTTTTTCTTGAGAGAAAAAGATTTTGTTTTTTTATTCCTCAGCCATGTCCTCGGAGATCTCAACCGTCATGATGTAGTGTTTGGGTTTTGGTAGTTCTCTCTGTCCAGAGGCCATTGCTGACATCTGATACCGAGGTGGATCGTCCTTCTTGTCTATGGCAGTCTACAACAAACAAAACAAAGCACAAACATACTCCAAGCCACCCCATTCTATCCTCTGGGCGGTTCATTTATTAAAATGCTGACTAAAATACCCGTAGTGAATGGTGCTGAGAACAATGTATGTCCTGCTTTAAGCCCAAAAAATCAAAAAATTGCAAGGTAAAAATATGGAAAAAATTAAAAACGTATAAGTATGCTAAAAGGCGCTTTCTAGTGGAATACTTATCTCTCCATGTAGCTGGGTGGTAACACCCCCAACGTAAGTACTTGTATGCCTTTCTCCCTCTGACTCTACACTCGTGTGTTAGCAAAGCTAAAAAATAAAGGTATATTACGCTTCTTCCGGCAGTCTAAGACTGCTCTCTTACATTTCGTCTTAACTCTCCCCGGGTCCTTACAGGTCCAGCCGGACCGCGTGTGAGACTCTCTCTATCACCCGATATAGTCCTGTCCACTTTGCCTCTTACCACTTCCTTTTGATGGCCTTCAGAAGCCCCCACTCAATGTCTTTTGGGGCTGGTGATTTCTCTGCTCCCCCTTGGATCTCATTCACCTGTTTTGAGAAGGCTGAAACCAGTGACGTTAGTTGATCATAGTATGGTTTGTACTTCAAAAATGGAGCTATTGGGGCTGTTACCCTGCCTGTTCCAGGTCCTGGGAACTGCTGTCCACAGGTGAGCTCAAATGGTGTAAACCCTGTCCTAGAGCTCACCGAATTTCTGACTGACATTAAAGCTAGTGGGAGAGCATCAACCCAACTCAGCTTGTCGTGTGCACATATTTTACCAATCTTTCCTTTCAATGTTTGATTCATCCTTTCCACCTTGCCTTGAGATTGGGGATGATAGACTGTGCCAAATGCGTGTTTTAACCCTAGGCTAGCCTCCACTGCCTGTAGGTGTTTATTTTTGAAGTGTGTGCCATTATCAGATCTGATTCGTCTGGGAAACCCATGTGTGGGAATGTACTGATTTATCAGGAATTTGACTACTGTTTGTGCATCTTCCTTTTTTGCAGGTAGTGCCTCTGGCCAGCCAGTGTATGCATCCACGGCTACCAAGAGGTATCTGTACCCTCTGACCCTGTCATTCATGTCTGTGTAGTCAATAATGATCTCTTGCCCCAGCCCGGACGGTAGAGGGAATTTTCCCTGGTGTGGTTTTACTGTGGATCTAATATTGTACACATTACACGTACTGCATTCCTTGATATGATTCTCTATCATTGCTGGTAAAAAAGGGATGCCACCAATGGGTTAACTGATGTTTCATTTGTTTACAGCCGCAATGAGTTGGCCCGTGTGCTTCCTGGAGCACCACTGATGTCAGTCCTGGAGGGAGAACTGGTCTCCCCTCTGGTCCCCTCCACAACTCATCGGCCTTGAGTGCTCCCCTGCTTATCCAAACACTCTGATCATATGGGGAGGTTTTTTCCTGTTCTTTTCTCAACATGTCTTTGTCACAGGGGGGCAATATGTCATATACTGTCTTTCCTGCTTGCATCATCATGTACTGTGTACCATAGCCGGCTTTCTGTTTTGCCGCTTGGTCTGCTGCGTCATTTCCTCTAGCTGTCATATCATCGCCTGTAGTTCTTCTAACTGAGCTGATACTTTTCCTGTTACTGTTTCTGCTTTTACTGTCTCGAACCCCCTTTCTGTCTGTCTCACCACTGCCCAAGCTGCTTTTAACCCTTCTGTTGGATGTCTGAAGCAGCATCCATCTGTGAACAGTGTCTCCTCTGCATCTCCTATCGGCTGACTCTGCAAATCTATTCTCACCCTCAGATCTTTCTGTACTCTTTCTTCACACAAATGAGGCTCCCCTTCCCCCCACCTGGCTCACCGATGTCAGAGGTTCCTGGGCCTCGTCATTGTTCTTGGTGGTAATGGGGACCCTCTACCCAATCAGGGATTGGATACAAGTCATGGTCGTTGCGGGTGCCTAGGGAGGGGTATTGTCCTCTAGGGGCTGCGGCAGTATTTGGAGCTTGGTGACGTACGTCACCTGGTGGTGGGCCATATCCCTGCTGTGGTGGACCATACCCTGGTTGTTGTGGGTAGTTATTTTGGGGTGGTGTATCTATTCGGCAGTGTCTTGCCCAGTGACCTGGTTGACCACAGATCCAGCATAGACCACGGGGTTGTTGTGGTGCCATGCCTCTATCTCGCCCTCCCGCTCTAAACCCTCCCCTTTCCATCTGTCGTGGAGGTTGAGCATACATGTGCTGCACGGGCGGGTACGCCGGCGCAGGAGGAGCCATCGGCTGCTGTAACATTTGAGTGTTTGATTTTGTTATTTTCTTAGCTTCAGTTAGCTTACGGCACTCATTCTCTAGTTGTTATACATAAATCCCAGCCATTTGTTAGCTGGCTGAATTTATCCATCTATTTGTGGCCCCCCTCTGTGGGGGCTGGTATTTTCTCTAAAATGCAATTCATGTCTGTGAATGAAAATGGTTAATACACTATATTTCCATTGCTCTTGGCGATGAGTGGCATTGCAAGTGATGGCAGTTTTTTGACCGATTTTAACATGTTGGGATGGGTGCTTTTGTGTATGTGAGCGTGTGTTGTGTAACAAAGCCGACAGCATGGGTGATTGACCCCTCTCACATTCCTGTGAAGATGATATATCTTGCTCTGGCTGGTTGTGGTATATGACTAGCTGCCCTGACATCTGTGCCTCACATATTTGTTGGTTTGGTTCATATTCTTCCTCTCCATATGTACTCTCTTCCTCCTCTGATTCGCCCCCACCCTTGCCACTCTCTCCTATTCTCCTGTCTATCTTTGCCTGGAATGGTCCTGCTGGACTCCCTGTCTGATTTTTCTCCCCCCTCTCGCGCTGCTTTTGCTCCCTGTGCTGCTCTACATAAGTCCCCGCAGTATTTCTCCTATCTTTCTCTCTTTCACTCCCTTGTTTGCCCCTTTATTATCTTCTGTAACTCTTCAAATTGCTCTGTTGTCCCTTCAAAGATGTTCCCCTCTAAATCCAATTGGCCTGGATTAACTGTGATTACCGGAGCCTGTATTGCTCCTGGACGGGTGTCTGTGTACGGCGGAGAGGCCGGGGTATAAGGACGGTTGTCGAGGTATGGGGGGTATGTGTATAAGGGCAATGGTCCCGGCTCCATAGGTGGAGCAGTCTTGGTCACAGTCGTGGTCGCAGTCTTTGTCTGTGCTCCTATTGCTGCGCAGGCTAATGATATTGCGTGTACTGAAGCTCTCTTTCTGTCTAACTCCTCTGAAGTCTTCTTCCACTTTATCTTGGCCAGCCAGCCCTGTTGTACTCCAGTGTCCTGCTTTTCTAGCTCGTCTGCCACAGTCTTCTCTGCGGTAGCGCTATCTCTCCAAAAGAATGTCATGTTATATCTGCAACTACCCACACTCTTCTCCCTTATACTGTGCCTGCTATTCATATTCATTAGTAAGTTATAATTCTATAACACATCATACAAACATCTAATATTCCCTTAACAGCCCTTTATCAATGTAAGCATAATCAATGTAAGTATGAGTAAACATATTTCTATTCTTGTTAATAATCATACAGGTAAAAATATATAGAGTATAAATCACAGAATATCGCAACAATATTAAAACCACCTACAATAATTACTTTATCTGATTTAAGGACTAAACTTGATAAACACTCAGAAAATCAGAATATGGGCCAGGAGCGCAGTACACTATAACAAATAGAACTGGCTGCAGTGTTTTCCAGGATGGGTGAAAAAGACTAAGAACAAGGTTTTCAAATGAATTATAATTTAGTTTTGGTTTAGAGTCAATTAAAACGCTCAAATCATATATGGCAGCTACTCCACCTCCTCGGCCGGTGCCTCGGGGAATGTGAGTATTAATGTGGCTGGGGGGTGGATCCATTTAGGCTAACATACTCCTCGTGGGACAAACAGGTCTCAGTAAGTAAATCAATATTATAATCTGATATTAATTCATTCATAGACACTGTGTCTGTCCCCGATCACCTAAATAATTTAAAGAAACAAAAACAAGAGTTCAACATAAAAATCTAATAAAAATTAAAACCAACTCCTTAGTAGCACAAAATAAGAGAATGAAATGTGGACTGTTAAATATCAGGTCTCTGTCTTCAAAAGCTGTTTTAGTGAATGAATTAATATCAGATTATGACATTGATATACTTTGTCTTACTGAGACCTGGTTGTCCCACGAGGAGTATGTTAAATTAATCCACCCCCCGAGTCATATTAATACTCACATTCCTCGAGGCACTGGCCGAGGAGGTGGAGTAGCAGCCATATATGATTCGAGCATTTTAATGGACCCTAAACCTAAACTAAATTATAATTCATTTGAAAGCCTTGTTCTTAGTCTTTCTCACCCAAACTGGAAAACACTGCAGCCAGTTCTGTTTGTTATAGTGTACCGCGCTCCTGGACCGTACTCTGATTTTATATCTGAATTCTCAGAGTTTTTATCAAGTTTAGTCCTTAAATCAGATTAGTAAGTAATTATTGTGGGTGATTTTAATATTCATGTGGATGTTAACAATGACAGCCTTAGTAATGCATTTATATCATTAATAGACTCAATTGGCTTCTGTCAGAGTGTAAATAAACCAACTCATTGTTTTAATCACACTCTTGACCTTGTTCTATCATATGGCATTGATATTGAACATTTAATAGTCTTCCCACATAATCCTTTCCTATCTGACCATTATTTAATAACTTTTGAATGCATACTATTAGATTATAAGCCATTAAGCAAAACTTCCTACAGCAGATGTCTATCTGACAGTGCTGTAGCTAAATTTAAGGAGGAGATTCCTTCAGTGTTTAATTCAATGCCATGTCTGAATTTAACAAAATCCTATAACAACTTTAGTCCCTCTGAAATTGATAATCTTGTTTATAGTGCTGCAGGCTCACTACGATCAACATTAGACTCTATCGCTCCTATAAAAAGGAAATAATTAAAACATAGGAGACTAGCACCGTGGTACAATCACCAAACCCGCCAGTTAAAGCAAATAGCTAGGAAATCTGAAAGGAAATTGATATATATTTAGACTGTTTTTCTGCTATCGATCTTCATCAGTTAACTTCAATCATTTCTTCATCGAAGCCACCAACCTGTCTATTAGACCCGATCCCAACTAGACTGCTTAAAGAAGTTGTTCCCTTAATTGACACTTCTTTACTGGATATGATGAATCTCTTTTTATTATCAGGATATGTACCACAGTTCTTTAAAGTAGCTGTAATTAAACCCCTTCTTAAAAAGCCCACTCTTGACCCAGGGGTTTTAGCTAACTATAGACCAATCTCTAACCTCTCCTTCCTCTCTTAGATTCTGGAGAAGGTAGTCGCCAAAGAGTTGTGTGACTTTCTACATAACGATAGTTTATTTGAGGATTTTCAGTCAGGATTTAGAGTTCATCATAGCACAGAGACAGCTCTGGTTAAAGTTAATAATGACCTTCTGATTGCTTCTGACAATGGACTTGTCTCTGTACTTGTATTATTAGATCTTAGTGCTGCGACACCATTGACCATAATATTCTTTTACAGAGACTTGAGCATCAAATTGGCATTAAAGGAACCGCACTAAACTGGTTTAGGTCATATTTATCAGATCGTTCGCAGTTTGTACATGTTAACGATGAATCTTCAATAAATACTACAGTTAGTCATGGAGTTCCACAAGGTTCTGTACTTGGATCAATATTATTTACTTTATATATGCTCCCTTTAGGCAACATTATTAGGAATCACTCCATTAACTTTCACTGTTATGCAGATGATACGCAGTTATATCTTATTGATCAAGCCCGATGAAATTAATCATTGATTAATCAATGAGCTGCAATTTTCTGATGTTAAACTCAGAAAAAACCCGAAATTCTTGTTCTTGGCCCCAAAAACCTTAGAGACTTACTGTCTAAAGATATAGTTACTCTAGATGGCATTACCTTGGCCTCTAGCACCACTGTCAGGAATCTTGGCGTTATCTTTGATCAGGATTTGTCTTTTAACTTCCACATGAAGTGGACCTCTAGGACTGCCTTCTTTCATTTACGTAATATTACAAAAAATAGACACATACTATCACAGACAGATGTAGAAACACTAATCCATGCATTTGTTACTTCTAGGCTGGATTACTGCAACTCTTTATTATCAGGTTGCCCCAATAAGTCCATTAAAATGCTAATTAATTAATTCAGAACGCTGCAGCACGAGTACTGACAGGAACTAGAAAAAGATTTTTGATAAAGCTTATAGTTAGGGCTGGATCAGGTGAGTCCTGAACCATCCCTTAGTTATGCTGCCATAGGCCTAGACTATCGGGGGATTTCCCATGGTGCACTGAGCTCTTCTCTTCCTCTCTCTTTCTGCACTCATTCATGTCCCATTAATGCATGTTACTAACTTCACTTCTTCCCCCGGAGTTCTTGTGCTTTCTCGTCTCGCAGGTTCTTATCGATCCTGGTGGAGCCTCCTGTTAGATTGCCATTGCCAATACTGTTGTTGCTGTGCGTCTGTCTGTCTGTCTGTCTGTCTGTCTGTCTGTCTGTCTGTCTGTCTCTCTCTCTCTCTCTCTCTCTCTCTCTCTCTCTCTCTCCTCTCTCTCTCTTGCTCTCTCTCTCTCTCTTTCACCCCAACTGGTCGAGGCAGACGACCACCCACCTAGAGCCGAAGGATCTGTCCTTGGTTTCTGCCTTTTAACAGGCAGTTTTTCCTTGCCCTTGTCACCAAGTGCTTGCTCATGGTGGTACTGTTGGGTCTCTGTAAATAATGTTTTAAAGAGTTCGGTCGGGACCTACTCTATTTGAAAAGTGTCCTGAGATAACTTCTGTTACGAATGGCGCTATACAAATAAAATTGAAATGAATTGAATTCACTAAAACAGCTTTAGAGGACAGAGACCTGATATTTAACAGTCAACCTTTCATTGTTTTATTTTGTGCTTCTGAGGAGTTGGTTTTAATTTTTATTAGGTTTTTATGTTGAACTCCTTGTTTTTATTTCTTTAAATAATTTAGGTGGTCGGGGGACAGAAACAGTCTCTATGGGGTTTTGGGTGGGTGACTGCTCTAATGGAAGAGCAGAGAAGTGTGTAAGACAGCAGCTCTGCTTCCTGGTCCCAACTCTGGACTGTCAGGTTTTAGAAATAAACTTTGCCATATTCCTAGATAAGAGAGCCGCTCCATCCAAAGATGGATGGATGCCGTCTCTCCTAATCAGACCAGGTTTTCCCCAAAAAGGCCGCCAGTTATCTATGAAACCCACATTGTTTGCTGGACACCACCTTGACAGCCAGCGTTGGAATGACGACATGTGGCTATACATGTCATCACTGGTCACATTGGGCAGGGGTCCAGAGAAAACTACGGAGTCGACATTGTTTTTGAATAATTACATACCGACTCCACATTAATTTTAGTGACCTCCGAGTGGCGTAATCGGGTGTCATTACCGCCGACGTGAATAACTGACGTGAATCTTACTATATTTATGTTTATCTTTAGCCAGCAGTTTTAAATATTTCCCCAGTAATACAACTTTATCTACAGTCCAGTCAGAGAAACGGAGGGTAACCTATTTTAAAACTTACCCACATGCATAAGAGATATTAAACATTGCCTAAATGTCGCTCCATCGGTCAATTAACAGACACAAAGAAGGACCAATAGTTAGCGTGCAGCCTCACCCTAATCATTTGATTGGATGATTAACTTCCGGTTGAAAACCAATGCCGCGTTCATGTCATATCAGAATTATCGTACGTAATTTTGCGTTCCAAACTTGCAAATATCGTAACGTCAGCATCCATGTCGCAATTACGTCTGAAAATGGAAATGCCTCACATCAGTCCAATGTAGGGAGTTATAATGTCAAACCATATTTTTTTCTAATCCTCACACAACCATCTTTTTCTTTCCGCGACTAAACCGGTATACGTGCTTAGCTGCATCAGATCCATCACACTATACACCAATTGCTCTTACATCTCAGTTAGGGAAAACTATGGAAAAGATGGTAATAGAGAGGTTGATGTATTTCATAGAAAGTAGAGAATAAGTTTCTTCATATCAGAATGGGTTTCGTAAAGGAAGAAATACAATGGACTCAGTATTGTGCGTAGAATCAGAAATAAGAAAAGCACAGACAAATAAAGAGATAGTGGTTGCTGTGTTTTTTGATATAGAAAAAGCGTATGAAATGTTGTGGAAAGAAGGCCTGCTAATCAAACTGGATAAGTTGGGAGTGGGAGGGAAGATGTATAACTGGGTATTAAGCTTCCTGTTTGGGAGGAGGTCAGAGTAGGAAAAGAGTACTCACCAGTAGATATGGTTGAAAATGGAACGCCACAGGGGAGTGTATGCAGTCCAATATTCTTTAACTGTATGATTAATGACATCTTTGAGGAGGTGGGGGGAGGAATAAGTAAATCATTATTTGCTGATGTTGGGGCATTATGGGTATGGGGGAGAAATCTGAAATATCTACAGAAGAAGATGCAGGCAGTGGTTGATACAGTGGAGAAGTGGGCAAATAGGTGGGTATTTAAGTTATCAGTTGCAAAAACACAAGTGATATGTTTTGCAAAACGCCACAAAGAAATATCAATGAAGTTATATGGTGAAACACTGGAGCAAGTTAAAGTAATTCGTTTTTTGGGAGTGCTGTTTGATGAAAAGCTTACCTGGAGGCAGCACATTGAGAAGACAAAAGATAAGTGTAAAAATGTTAATAACATCTTGAGATGCTTATCAGGTCGTGATTGAGGTGCAACCAGGAAGTCTCTATTAAATATATATAAAACCATGATGAGAGCCAGATTAGATTATGGGAGTATTGCATATATGTCAGCAGCTGAAAGTCACCTTAAGAAGCTGGATGTGGAGCAGGCTAAAGGACTCAGGATATGTAGTGGGGCGTTTAAGACCTCCCCAGTTGCAGCTCTGCAAGTTGAGATGGGGGAAGAACCGTTGAGAATAAGAAGGACCAAGCTCATGTTGGCATACTGGGTACATCTGCAGGGCCATAAAAAATCTCATCCAGCAAAGGCCATATTAGAGAATTGCTCAGAGCATGAAAAATCTAACTTCTGGAGATTAGGCTGGGTTGGAAATGTAAAGGCTGAAAGCATTGGTTTATGTGACGTGCAGTATACATCAAATGTTCCTCTACCAGGATTCCTCCTTGGTTGTTCCAGATGCCATCAGTAGATTTTAATATTCAGCAGAAGCTAAAAAAGAAGACAAAACAGGGAGATACTGGAATCATAGTACAAAAGTATATTGAGCAAAATTATTCAAATAGGGTAGTAATATTTACAGATGGATCAAAAGAGCCAGAAAATGGGCACACCGGAGCTGCAATTTACATTCCAGAATTCAAAGTAGCAATTAAGAGGAAAACAACAGATCATGCATCAGTATACACAGTAGAACTCCTGGCTATCACAATTGCACTGAAATGGTTAGGAGGAGACAACAGGGACAATGCACTCATTACGTCAGATAGCTGGGCAGCACTTAGCAGTATCAAAACCATGAAGTCATGCAAGCGAGATCTAATCATGGAGATACATCAAATGTTATACGGCCTTTATAACACAGGGAGGACAGTCTCTTTTATATGGGTTCCTGCTCACGAGGGGGTTGGGGGCAATGAGGATGCAGACATACTCGCTAAACAAACACTCAGGTTACAAACAGTGAATAATATACTATTAGGGAAAGCAGAAGGAAAGACCATCATTAAAACACAAATGCAAAAAGTTTGGCAGGAATATTGGGACATAGATGAGACAGGAAGACACTTTTACAATATACAAAAACAGGTGGGGAAAGGAGGAGTGGTGGGCAGAAGCAGGAAGGAGGAGGAGGTCATTACCCGTCTCAGGTTAGGGCACACAGAGCTTAATAGCACATTATACAGAATTGGAAAACATCCTACTGGTAAATGTAGATTGTGTGACCATCCTGAGTCTGTGCAGCATGTTCTCATGGAATGCAAGGGATGTGAGAAAGAGGAAAGAACTTAAAGCAGCAATGCAAAAGGAAAAAGTGAGCTTCACGGTAGGGAACATGTTTGCAAGGCTTAGAAAGCATTAGGAGATATGTGAAAAAGTACTTTTACTTGAGGAAAACAGGGTTAATGGATAAGATTTAATATAAATATATATTTTATTTATTTATTTATTTATTTTTATTTTCCCTTCTTTATCTGTCATCTAATGTACCACACTCCAGTCCGGTAGGTGGCGGCAATGCACCTATAAGTTGGATGCCAGCCGCCAATCAAATCAAAAGGAAGAAGAAGAAGGTATACGTGCTCATGACGAATACCCTCGCAGGGCGGAAGTAGGAAGCTTTCTCATCTCCACCATCCGTCCCATATCGCTGGAACGCGGCGTAAACAACAGACTCCGTCCAGTTCCAGGCGGAGGAGGAGGAAGAATCAGGGTTCTCATACCTATACGTTAGTTGATATTAGTTACCTTTCTGTAACTAATGTAAAGCTTGGAATCCTTTGATACGAAAATGCGGATGTAGCTTGCTGCTCTTATGGCTTTTTCGCCTGCATGCTCTGAGACAGTGTCGAGATGTTTTCAACCAACATGGAAACAAAAAGAGTGGAGATCCCCTCCAGTGTACTGGACGACCTCTGCAGGTACCATGGCACTTTAACGTACTTTACCATCGTTGTTTGATTGCCATTACGCTTGAATAAAACAGTCTAACTGTATTTGTTTGGTAAGCAGGTGTCCATGTAAGCCAAAAACTAGCGCTCTCTTCTTTGCATGTTTGTAGTTGTGGTTAGCTCAGTTGCTGTTGAAACCTGGTTGCTGCGTGATGCTGTCATGCTACACGCATTTAACGCTGCATTCAATTTTCAGACTACATATACAGGGAGTACAAAAGGGGGAATACAGTTTTTTCAAATTCAGCGAATATATCCTCACGGTGCACTACGTTCTGTGTGCGCACTGAAACAAAGTGGATTGGACCAGGCCACACAATACTAATTTGTTATTCCAGCCAGGATTTCTGTGTCAGGTAACGTTAAATGACTTACCCACAAACATTCAGCTTACTTTCTAGTTTGCCAAAATATGCTGTTGTGATCTTTGCTATAGTAGCAAGAGAATTGTGAGAAACCAGGTTGTGCTTTCTGCTCGTTAGCTGCCGATGTTTAGCGACAGTTTGTTAACCCACAAAATAGTTAATGTTAGTTACATTACATGCTGTGTCGTCGTTCGCACTATATTTTTGTATTTGTCGTGGTATTTTTCCACTACTACTTACCCCACCATTCAGTGATACATTTATACAGTTTTCTCACTACACTGTTGAAAAGTAGTACAAAGGTAAAAAATAATTAAGTATGAGTAAGTACCATTTATTTTTCCAGTATATAATTCAAAATGTAATAAAGAAATAACCCTTTCCTTGTGGTCATTTTATATTAACTATTTATTCATTGATGTTACAGAAAATGGTTCATTTCATGATCTATATTCAACAAATCAAGGTTGTTTTATTGTCATTTACAACACAAGGTTGTAGAATGAAATTAGATATTACCATATCTAGATTTTTATACTAGATATATAAAAAAAAAAAACTGATTAATGAGAATGACTAAATACTAATACTAGCAGCCAGATGAACAAGCTGTATCTGGAGTGGGTGCTTTCTTTAAGTATTCTTTGGGCTCTGCGCAGACACTTCACCTCATGTCCTGGGCCGTGCACATCCCATGCCGGTTTGTGATGTTTCCAGTCAGGATGCTTTCTATCGCTCCTCTGTGAAAGTTAACAATAATGTGGCATGGGAATTTTGCTCTTGAGATTCTTAAGAAGTAATAAGAAATAAGAATAAGAATAAGAAATACAGTCGTTTCTGTACTTTGTTAACCAGGGTGGAGATGTGAGATGATCATGACAGGTTCTCTATAATGTTGATTCCCAGGAGCCTAAAATTGTTGACCTGCTCCACCTCAGCTGTGTCTCTGTCCTTTTTTCCTAAAATCAACAATCAGCTCCTTGGTTTTGCTGACTTTGAGCAGTATGTTGTTTTCTGTCCAGCACTCTGCAAGATTGTTGATTTCTTCCCGATATGATCATCGTTGTTGATGGTGGTGTCATCTGAAAACTTCTCCATGTTAGGGGTTGCAGTCATGAGTGTACAGTTTGAACAGTGAGCACACAGCCATGATGGGTTCTGGCATTGAGCAGTATATTGGAGGAGGCTACCAATCTGATTAATTTGAATGTATTATCATTATCTGGATATGCAATTACCGCTCTAATTCCACACATCATTTAAGTTATATATAACCAGTGAATTGGGAAGCTCTTGACTACAATGAATGAACAAGAATTAAAGGTTGACACTCCTGTGCATCAGAGGACATTTGCATGGATTTAATCTTCCTCAACTTACCCACATTGTGCCGCTGGGCAACTTTTGATTCTCTCTGTAGCATCAGGACGTTTAGTTCACAGTGAGTGGTAGCCTGTTGCATGCCACTCTGTTTGAGTGTATTAAGGACCCACAGCTCCTTTTTGCCACAGAGCCCCCTAGCTTGTTAATGTATCCCTAATTCCGAGTCTCCTCTGTTCCTCCAGTCGGTTCATACTGCACATCCCGAGTGAGGAGAGGGACAACGCTATCCGGGTGTGCTTCCAGATTGAGCTGGCCCACTGGTTCTACCTGGACTTCTGCATGCAGAACATTCCAGGAGCTCCTCACTGTGGAATAAGAGACTTTGCCAAAGCAGATATCCTACATGTGAATCATAATATTGAATCACCATATATGATTTAGTTTACTTTACATAAATGCATTGATGACTGTACAGATTCCAAGGCAAACTATTTTTCAAACCTTCAAATGGATTTTTTAAATTAAAATTTCTTGTTGTAATAACAGCTACCCAAAAGAAATGATCAGTGATTTTATTACAAACTAACATCAGTGGTGGGTTTTTTTCCTCCGAGCAAGAAGCCAAGGGTGGTGCTCATGTTTGTTTGGATAAGACTTTGTTTTCCTTGACAGCTGCAAACTCTTCCATCACTGTCCGTTTCTATTGCCTCACGGAGAGGATGTGCAGAAAGTCCTTGAACAGTGGAAGGAATATAAAATGGGTGTACCTACTTATGGAGCAATCATTCTAGATGAATCACTTGAAAAGGTGAGTTATTTTTTCCTATTCATACACCGCAAGTAATACCTGATGTAGATCTTTTTAAGTAATGTAAATTATATTTCTCATTTATCTTACTTATTTCTGGAGGTGTAACAATTCTTCCAGTCCATGGTCGGAATTGATTTAAAAACAAATTGCACTGTTGGCTATGCCATTGTTGGTATATCCAGCCATTCTATGCCCTGACAACTGTCAGTTACATTTTCAAATTTCCTTTTTAAAAAGATAGACCATGCAAACCTTATTATCATCACTATCTTGTTGCTGCTGTTTACATTACCTCACACGAAAATTCAAAACATGCACTGCCAAATTATTGCCTGGGTGTATATGTGTATATAAAAAACTGTAAATATTTTATTTATTTTGTATGCTAATAACAATTAATTAGGGACCGAGCCAGCGACCGCTGGAGGTCCCTATTGTTTTTGCTCGATTTCTTCTTACCTATTATTTTTAGCCCCCTTTGACTGCATTTTTGCCCCCCTGAACATATACGAAAACTCAATTTTATTTGGCATAATTGTCAGGCCTGGTGAAAATGGGGATATTCTATGCGTCACTTTCGGGTTAGCCACTAGGTGGCGCTACTATCATAAAAAATGCATTTAGGCTAATAACTTTTGCATAGTTTGTCGCACATTCAAAAAACTCATATCCACACTTTCAGTGAATGGAGCTGAATCTCCCCGTATAGGCCACGCCCACTTCCACCTATAATTTTTCTCCGCGAGAGTGCGAAATGTCCATAAACTACTTTTCCGTGTTCCCCCATGCGCTTTGTCCGATTCGCACAAAATCTTTCACGTAGCATCTGAGGACCCTCATAATGAAAAAGTGATTCAAAGAATTTTGATATTTCAAAAAACAGCACGTTATAAAATTAGCACTTCCTGTGGATTTTTCGTCAAAAAAGGAAGTGGACCATTTCTCCACATTGGTATGTCCCATTGACACCAAACTTGTGTCCATAGTTCCACATATTCCACGTTCTTCCTTAGGCATCGTGCACAATTTCAGGCCATCGCCACAAGGTGGCGCTCTTTAAAATGAAGAAGTTTATATCTCTACAACGGTATGTGTGATTAAGATGAAACTTGGTACAATGCTTCCCCATGGCTCCCTGAGGCTCACTAAAAAATGTGTCAACAATCCGCCACTAGGTGGCAGTCTGGTGGCATGGTAAATCACTGTGCGGAGACCGTAATAGTTATGAATATGAAATTCACAGGGCACGTGTAGAGTGGTGCCTGAAGCTCACATACCAAAAATCGTGTTTGCTGTGTTTGTAGCGCCCCTTACAGGATAAAAAAACAGCAGCCCCGGCGCCACGTTTCACCGATTTTTACAAAACTCGGTAGGCACGTGTAACATGCCGGGACGTACAAAAAAGCCTCTTGGACCCATACCCGAAACCCCACAGGAAGTCGGCCATTTTCATTTTCATTTTCACTTTCAGCAAACCTTTCGCGTTGTATTTGAACGAACTCCTCCTAGGGAATTTATCGGATCTGCTACAAAATCTGTGAGTACAGTCAAAAAATGGTACTGATTAAAAGTTGTGCTATTTGTGCTTGTACGTTGAAGGGCGTGTCCGTGGCGTGCCGTCAAAGTTGGCCACTTTGAATTCTGTGGTCATACAAACTGATTGAAAAGTTGAGCTATTTGTGACTGTACATTAAACCGCGTTCCAGTGACAACTTGTCGATTTCAGCAGATTCGCCATAAAATAGTACTCATAACTTCAGTGTGCAATGTGCAATGTCCAATCTCCAATAAACGTCATATATTCTGAAACAGTTTTGCCCTGAACACGTCCTCATAACTTCAGCGTACGTGGTCCAATGTCAATGAAACTTCACGTGTTTGATAACACTCTCGCTTTGAACATGTCTACATGACAACATTCAGACATAGTGATAGCGCCACCTACTGGCAACAGGAAGTAAGCGATGCGTGGCGATTTTGAGCTGAGTTACGTGAAATGACTATGCCGGTGACGACTTGTCGAATTTAGCCGATTTGCCATAAAACAGCACTCATAACTACAGTGTGCAATGTCCAATGTCCAATCTCCAATAAACGTCATATATTCTGAAACAGTCTCGCCTTGAACACGTCCTCATAACTTCAGCGTACGTTGTCCAATCTCAATAAAACTTCACGTTTGATACGAGTCCCACCCTGAACACGTCTACATAACAATATTAAGACATAGTGATAGCGGCACCTACTGGCAACATGAAGTAAGCGCTGCGTGGCAATTTTGAGCTGATTACGTGAAATTTCATGGTTTGGTCCGCACTTGTAACGATGGCACGTGACGCGGCCGCGGTACGCTCCGAGTTGCGTGGAGATCGAGGTCCCGCTCAACGCTGCTTACAGCTTTAATTTAATTATCTTTTTTGTGTGTAGCATGAAGGAACTGCAAACTTTAATTTTGGTATACAACCATGTGTTGTATAATGATACATTTCCTTGATGATGAGAGAAAGAAAGATGACTTCCTATTCCTCGGGATGACTTTCTTCCAGATAAAAGTTTACCTTGGCAGTTATTCCTGCCGGGTAGAGAAGTAGGGAGTTACGGTTAGGCTCAGTTTTTTTTCCTCCCGTAAGGCAACAGAGTGTTAAAGGTTGTTAGTGGTGTTCTTTGTCAACCCCCTCTACTGCCTTCCACTGTCATTGACTAGAGTTAAGTGTGGCACTGAACAAAAAAACTGAACAAATGGTCAATCTTTGCATTGAATAGCCAAATCCAGGTACAGCCCTAGAAGGATACCTTGATTTTTCTGTGATTCTTTGACAATAAGAAAAATGAAAAATATCACCAACCTTTAATTTAATATTTTCACACCAGTAATATTTTTCACCAGTGCACACATAGTGCTATTGCTAAAAACATCTTTCCTCTTTAGGTGCTGCTTGTTCAGGGATACCTTGCCAAGTCAGGCTGGGGCTTTCCAAAGGGGAAAGTTAATGAGGATGAAGCTCCTCATGACTGTGCAGTTCGTGAAGTGAGTTGCATGTTCAACTGTGACCAACTGAAAACATTAAGAGCAATATATAATGCTTGTACTTAATTATAATTAAAAATACTGGTTGTTATCCAGGTGTTGGAGGAAACAGGCTTTGACATTAAAAATCGCATCTGCAAAGACATGTACATAGAGCAGAAAATCACTGATCAGCTAGTGCGTCTGTACATCATACCAGGAGTGTCAAAGGATACCAAGTTCAACCCCAAAACAAGGAAGGAGATCAGGGTAGAAATTCCTTTTTAAACATTTTATCCTCTGATTAAATTATAGCTTTTTGTAGCTGACAAAACATATAATCATCTTCTTCTTTTCTTATAGAACATTGAATGGTTTCCTATTGAGAAGCTCCCATGTCACAGGAACGACATGACCCCAAAGTCTAAACTTGGACTTGCCCCCAACAGGTTTTTCATGGCCATTCCATTCATAAGGTGCGTGTGTGGAATGTTGCCTGTTAATTATTTTCAAGTACATGTATGGAGTCAAAGTTCAACAAAACACCTATAGTACCAGCACTTTTAAAGCTCACTATATAAAATGTTGTATCTCATTTGCTTAATCTGTACAAACACAAATGTAAAAATAACTGTGTGGTTGCCTCAATGTTGTTGAACTTTGTATGTTATAAAAAAGTTATTTAGTTTCATTGTAGTAATTTACTGGTTTTGATGGCACACTTCCTGCTCCATCTGTACAGACCGTTGCGAGAATGGATCAGCAGGCTGAAAGGCGAGTCAACAGACAGCGATGAGGACTTTTCAAACAACGGCAACGCTCCATGCAAACCCTCAGACAATGCTCGGTAAAAACACCTCATCAGTTCTCAGTACAAGTTGGTCACTTCTCTTTTTTGGAAACAAATACAAGCCAGTCCCACACAGATTAATCATCAACTCTGTCCCTCCAGCTCTATTGAGCTTTAGAGTTTCTGTCAGCTTATTGGTTCAGTTTTCCTGCCCACCAAAACGTTCTTATCTTACAACTCTCCAACAGCAGCAGGCTTCCTTTTTACTGGGAAAAAGCTCTGATAAATCTACTGTACACACTGTAAAACCAGCTCTTATATCAGCCAAGTATTTTTTAACCAGATCTCCTTGTATTGAGCAAAAACGTCTACCAGTGGGGTAAGCCATTTTTGCTTGGCTAGAATACTTAAAACTAGCATTAAAATCTAGCCACTGAAAGACCATAATAGGCCATAAATTAGTAAGAATATCAAAAAAAAACAACGTGTGCTTATTACAAGCAATGAAAACTCAGTTATTTAAGATAACTGAGTTTTTTATTTTTGTCATTTTATTGAATTTAATTTCTTGAAACAGCATAATATAAATAAGTGGTTTTGTCTTAAATTAAGGCACCAGAAGCATTCTAATATTTAGCATTTGTTTAATAAAAAACTAAATAGCTACTTAATTTACAACACTGGTACAAGATTACTTTCTTTTAAATTTAGAAGTAGTGCGAGGGGTCTTACTCCTAAAATAAGTAAAAATAATCTTCTTCTGCTGGGATATTATGCAAACCATTGTTGTATCTGATTACTGGTTAAATCTAGCTCCATATTAGCTGTTATATGCTAATATTTATTTATAATATTAGATGTGATATGGTTTCTTGAAACAAGATTACTTTTCTAGTGCAAAACATGTTTGACAAGATTTCTTTTTTCTTGCCAGACTCATTTACACACTAAGTGACTTGCTGGTGAACAGTGGAGCATTAAAAGCTAAAGAGCCAGATATTTTTCTCAAGACTTAATGGAGATCAAAACAGAGCTAAAAGAGTGAATTAGACTTAGGACACAAACACAAGTCCAAATTAAAGCTGCAAGCAGCATTGGGCAGGACCTCGCACTCCACGCAACTAGGGGCACCACGCGCGTCACATGTCGTCGTAACACGTTCGGACCACAACATGAAATTTTCACGTTACCCCACTCCCAAGCTGAGGGAGACCACTCTACGTTGTCACACGTTTCAGACACTGCAAAAGACTTAAGCTTTCATAGAGAGTCTTCACTGCGAAAGGTGGAAATTCAGCGCCACGCCACGGACACACAGTTTGACGCGCAGTAAATATTTGAGTAACTTATGATCACAAATGTGTCTAGATTGCAGTGATGGAATATGAAGTCAATATGATAACATCTGTAGGAGTTAGTTAAAATAGATGCCCTGAAATGCCGGAAATTCAATTCAATTCGATTAAATTTTATTTGTATAGCGCCAATTCATAACAGAAGTTATCTCAGGACACTTTTCAAAAAGAGCAGGTCTAGACCAAACTCTTTGGCATCACAGCTTGACATTAGATTCAAAATGGCCAACTTTGACGGCACACCATGGACACACCCTTCAACGTACAGTCGCAAATAGCATGGCGTTCGTTCAGCTACATTTTTTGACTCTACTGACCAATTTTGAAGTAGATCCGATAAGTCCCCTACGAGGAGTTCATTCAAATAGAAGGCAAGAATTCACCAAAAATGACCACAGAATTCAAAATGGCACCACTTAATGGCGGATTTTTGACACCTTTTTTAAGAAGCCTCAGGGAGCCATGGGCAATCATCGTACCAAGTTTCGTTTTAATCACACGTGCCTATACGGAGATAAACGTTTTCCTTTTCAAGAGCGCCACCTTGTGGCACTGGCCTCAAATTGTTCACGACTGTGCACGATGCCTAAGGAAGACATGGGGAACTAAAGACCCAATGACGAAAAAGCTACAGGAAGTGCTAATTTTATAATTTTTTTTTAAATATCAAAATTCTTCAAATTACTTTTGTTGTCAGGACGGTCCCCAATGCTACGTGAAAAGTTTCGTGCAAATAGGACAAAGCGCGTAGGAGGAACACGAAAGAGTAGTTTTTGGACATTTTTGCGCTCTGGCGGAAAAAATTTCTAGGCGGAAGTGGGCGGGGCCTGCATAGAGAGGTGCACCTCCATTCACCGAACGCGTGGATATAAGGTTTTTGAATGTGCAGCAAACGATCCGGGAGTTATTAGCCTATCAAACTTTGCTTAAAAGTAGCGCCCCCTAGTTGCCTTCCTAGTGGCTGACGTTTGCCAAAATAAAATGGACTTTTCGTATATGTTCATGCAGTCAATGTTCCTAGAAATAATAATAATAATAATTTTAGCAAAAACAATAGGGACCTTGATACTGGCTCGGTCCCTAATTAAAGCTGCAAGCAGCGTTGGGCGGGACCTCGCCATCGACCTACGTCTGGGCCTGCACGGTGGTCGCCCGCCGCAGCCGCGCCACGTCACCTCACGCCCAAGCCCTCATCTCCTTCATGATAGTAGCGCCACCTAGTGTCCGATCCCGAAAGCAACGCATAGAATATCCAATTTTTCACCAGGCCTGACAACATTGCCAAATAGAGACATAAGAAACATAGCAAATAAAATAGCGGTCGCTGGCTCAGTCCCCTATAATTCCTTCCATTACAATACATTACAATAAGGCTTTAAATAGTTGTTGTATATACACTATAAACTGTTTTTGTTGTGTTTTTAGCTGCTTCTGCAGCCCGAAAGTGGTCAAAACATATTGATTAATGGACCTGTACTTGTATAGCCTTTCTAGTCTTCAGACCACTCAAAGCGCTTTTACACTATGTGCCACATTCACCCTTTCACACACATTCAGTGATGGCCAAGCCCATCAAAAAGAAACTGACTCATTCGTACACATTCACACAAGCAGGACCATGGTAGGAGGCACCACCATGATCCATGGGAACCTGCGAGACGAGAAAGCACAAGAACTCCGGGGAAGAAGTGAAGTTAGTAACATGCATTTATGGTACATGAAAGAGTGCAGAAAGAGAGAGAGAGAGAGGAAGAGAGGAGCTCAGTTCACCATGGGAAATCTCCCGATAGTCTAGGCCTAAAGCAGCATAACTAAGGGATGATTCAGGACTCACCTGATCCAGCCCTCACTATAAGCTTTATCAAAGAGGAACGTCTTAAGCCTACTGTTGAATGTGGAGAGGGTGTCTGCCTCCCGAACCACAACTGGAAGCTGGTTCCACAAGAGAGGAGCTTGGTAACTGAAGGCTCTGGCTCCTGTTCTACTTTTTGAGACTATAGGAACCACAAGTAGCCCTGCATTCAGAGAACGCAGTGTTCTAGAGGGGTAATAGGGTACTATGAGCTCTTTAAGATATGAAGGGGCCTGATCATGAAGAGCTTTGTAGGTGAGTTGGAGGATTTTAAATCTTATTTTAAATTTTACAGGGAGCAAGTGCAGAAAAGCTAGTACATGAGAGATGTGATCTCTTTTTGTAGTTCCTGTCAGTACTCGTGCTGCAGCGTTTTGAATTAATTGGAGCATTTTAATGGACTTCTTAATCCAGCCTAGAAGTAACAAATGCATGGATTAGTTTTTCTGCATCCATCTGTGACAGGATGTCTAATTTTTGTAATATTACGTTAATGAAAGAAGGCAGTCCTGGAGGTCTGCTTTATGTGGGAATTAAATGACAAATCCTGATCAAAGATAACTCCAAGATTCCTGAAAGTGCTACTAGAGGCCAAGGTAATGCCATCTAGAGTGTATATATATATATATAGTATACTATATCTTTAGACGGTGAGTCTCTAAGGTTTTTGGGGCCAAGTACAAGAATTTTGTTTAACTTTAATTTTCTGAGTTTAACATCAAAAAATTGGAGCTTATCCAGGATTTTATGTCCTTAAGACATGTTTGTAATTTAGATAATTGATTAATTTCATCGGGCTTGATTGATAGATATAACTGCGTATCATCTGCATAGCAATGAAAGTTAATGGAGTGATTCCTAATAATGTTGCCTAAAGGGAGCATATAGTAAATAGTATTGGTCCAAGTACAGAGCCTTGTGGAACTCCATGACTAACTGTAGTATTTATGGAAGATTCATCGTTAAAATAATAATAATTAATAATAGTAATAATTTTATTATAAAAGAAGCTCATGAAGTCATTGCTACTTTTAGTTAAGTTTATGAGGATATGTGGCTCAATAGAGCTGTGACTCTCTGTCAGCCTGGCTACAGTGCTGAAGAGGAACCTAGGGTTGTTCTTATTTTCTTCTGTTAGTGCTGAGTAATAGGCTCCTCTGGCATTACGGAGGGCCTTTCTATAAGTTTTAAGATTATCATGCCGAATTGAGTGATATTATAATAATTTAGAAGAGCACCAATTCCTTTCCGACTTCCTTGTTTTTTGCTTTCATTGGCGACTTTGGTGGTTGTACCACGGTGCAAGTTTCCTATGTTTTAATATTTTCCTTTTTATAGGAGCGATAGAGTCTAATGTTGATCGTAGTGAGCCTGCAGCACTATCAACAAGATTATCAATTTCGGAGGGATTAAAGTTGTTATAGGACTTGGCATTGAATTAAAACACTGATGGAATCTCCTTAAATTTAGCTACAGCACTGTCAGATAGACATCTGCTGTAGGAAGTTTTGCCTAATGGCTTATAATCTAATAATAGAAGTTCAAAAGTTATCAAATAATGGTCAGATAGAGAAGGATTATGTGGGAAGACTATTAAATGTTCAATATCAATGCCATATGATAGAACAAGGTCAAGAGTGTGATTAAAACAATGAGTTGGTTTATTTACACTCTGACAGAAGCCAGTTGAGTCTATTAATGATATAAATGCGTTACTAAGGCTGTCATTGTTAACATCCACATGAATATTAAAATCACCTACAATAATTACTTTATCTGATTTAAGGACTAAACTTGATAAAAACTCTGAGAATTCAGATATAAAATCAGAGTACGGTCCAGGAGTACACTATAACAAACAGAACTGACTGCAGTGTTTTCCAGTTTGGGTGAGAAAGACTACGAACAAGGCTTTCAAATAAATTATAATTTAGTTTTGGTTTAGGGTCCATTAAAGGCACACTATGCAAGATTTTTACCTTAATATAACAGCTTCGAAGTCATTTCGATGGTAAACGAACTCGTAGTATAGCGAATCATCCCGATAGCAAAGCAGGAGAGGGACGCCGTTGGCAGAACCAGCAATGCAAATCTGAAAGGTGCCGTCCCGCCAAATTAATTAATTAACTAGAACAGGACGGAGACCTAACATTTAACAGTCCACCTTTCATTATTTTATTTTTTGCTACTGAGGAGTTGGTTTTAATTTTATTAGGTTTTTATGTTTAACTCCTCTTGTTTTTATTTCTTTAAATAATTTAGGTGGTCGGGGGACAGACACAGTCTCTATGGGGTTTTGGGTGGGTGACTGTTCTAATGGAAGAGCAGAGAAGTGTGTAAGACAGTAGCTCTGCATCCTGGTCCCAACTCTGGACTGTCAGGTTTTAGAAATAAACTTTGCCATATTCCTAGATAAGGGAGCCGCTCCATCCAAAGAGGGATGGATGCCGTCTCTCCTAATCAGACCAGGTTTTCCCCAAAAAGGCCACCAGTTATCTATGAAGCCCACATCATTTGATGGACACCACCTCGACAGCCAGCGGTGGAATGACGACATGCGGCTATACATGTCATCACTGGTCACATTGGGCAGGGGTCCAGAGAAAACTACAGAGTCAGACATTGTTTTTGCATAATTACACACCGACTCCACATTAATTTTAGTGACCACCGATTGGCGTAATCGGGTGTCATTACCACCGACGTGAATAACAATCGTATTATATTTACGTTTACCTTTAGCCAGCAGTTTTAAATACGATTCGATATTGCCTGCTCTGGCCCCAGGGATACATTTAACTATGGCCGCTGGCTTCGCTAACTTCACGTTTCTGACTATTGAGCTGCCAGTAATCAGAGTTGTTTCCTCAGCAGGTGTGTCGCTGAGTGGGGAAAATGTATTAGAAACATGAATCGGTTTGTTGTGAACTGAGGGCTTCGGCGATTTATTCTTCCTCTGTTCAGTCAGCCGCTTCCTGGCTGCTCGGGATCTACCGGGGGACGGCTAAAGATAATTCTGTGGTGCGGTACCGTTCTTCTAATTCACTAAGCCTCGCCTCCAGCGCAGTAAATGAACTACACTTAATACGTGTACTATTATCAATAAAGAAGGCAGAGGAATAAGTAAACATCTGTCACACTGAGCAAGACAGAGGAGAGGGAGAAGCCATGGTTAAGTGTTTAAATGCTAAAGCAGCTAGTGTGTGTGAACACTTTTTAATTTTTTAGCGAAAAGTCGATAAAAGAAGGAAGTGGCTCCGAGTGCTTAGGTAGAACTAGTCTACGTTTAAATGTTAAGCAGGTAAATAACCGCTGTAACAAGTAAAACGATATTTAGCGTTCACTGGACAGAGCTAAAGCACCAGTGTACACAGAGCAGGAAGTAAACCGTAAATGAGTCAGTATGCTTACCGTAGCACATCAGCACCACATCAGCCATCTAAGAGATGTTTCAGGACTCACCTGAGCCAGCCCTAACTATAAGCTTTATCAAAGAGGAACATCTTAAGCCAATGCAGAGAAGTTAATACAGGAGAAATATGATCTCTTTCTGAATCAATTGTAGCGTCTTAATGGACTTATTGGGGCAGCCTGATAATAAGGAGTTGCAGTAACCCAGCCATGAAGTAAAAAATACATGGAATAGTTTTTTGCTTGTCTGTATCAGGATGTTTTATATTTTTGCAATGTTATGTACAGTAAGTGAAAAAAGGCAGTCCTAGAGGTTTGCTTAATGTGGGAGTTAAAGGACATATCCTGATCAAAGATAGCTCCAATATTCCCGACAGTGGCGCTAGTACAAGAACTTCAGTTTTGTCTGAGTTTAACATCAGAAAATTGCAGGACATTAGACGTTATTTAGATTATTGATTAATTTCATCAGGCTTGATCGATAGATATAACTGGATATCATCTGCATAACAATGAAAGTTAATGGAGTGATTCCTAATAATGTTGCCTAGGGAATCTAGTGTCCTGAGATAACTTCTGTTATGAATTGGTGCTATACAAATAAAATTGAATTGAATTGAACTGAAGCATATATAAAGTGAATAGAATTGGTCCAAGCAAAAAAAAATGTAGTGTTCAGTGAGTATTCATTTTTAACGTGATCAAACTGAGATTGATCTGATAAATAGGTAGTGCCGTTCCTTTAATGCCAATTAGATGCTCAAGTCTCTGTAATAAAATATGATGGTCAATGGTGTCAAATGTAGCACTAAGATCTAACAATACAAGTCCATTGTCTGAAGCAATTAAAAGGTTGTTGATAACTTTCACCAGTGCTGTCTCTGTGCTGTTATGTACTCTAAATCCTGACTGAAAATCCTCAAATAAGCTGTTGCTATGAAGAAAGTCACAACAACAGTAGTTGTAGTAGTACTCGCCAGTTGAAAGTTCTCAAGAATTTTAGAGAGAAAGAGGAGGTTAGAAATGGGTCTATAGTTGGCTAAATGTTATGGCTGATGGGTGTATATTTACGTTATTCCATGTATATGACAATGTAATATACTTTTTTTTATGAATGAATGTGAAAGAAAAATACATTGAGTTATGCTGTAGATTTCAGAACATGACTGGTATTTAAGGGAGACCGGGGTACAGTATGCCAGAAGTAACGTCATTAAACTGCATTATTCTTTACATAATAATTTAATATATATTTAACAATACCCAGTTACTGTTGTAGATTAGCCATCACTAGGATGTTTGTGACTAAAGAAATTTTGGTTTACATCAAGATGCATGAGACTTTCCCTGCCTTCACACAAAACTGACAAAAGAAGGCACTAACATCAGATGTGTCAGACATTCAGTGATGGTTGGTTTTTTGGATTTTGGGTGGGTGGGCTAACAAATGCATTACACTCATCAATACGTCACACAGCAGCAACAGCAGCAACAGTAACATCACATCAAGTTACAGCAACAACATTGTATACTTTGTTATAGCAAGTGCTCTACGGCAACACTGGGGAGACATACCCAAAGGAATGGCCTGATTCCAAAAATATCTCTCTCTTTCTCTCTCCTCTGTACACATCAGCACTTGCCAGTTGTGCTACAACAACATTATAGAAAACTACCAGCAACAATTTGCAGCACCATGTACCAAAAATAAATGTACAAAACCAAAGCAAAAGTAACAGTATCTGTAGAAAAGAGAGTTGTTTTAGAGCTGGGCATGCCTTATTTAAAAAGCAGCTCACATCAATGGCCTCTCTGCGTTTCAGCGGCTGCAGCTGTTTCCGCATCTGGATGTGGCTGGTTGTCATGTGTGGTCAGCGTGTACTTCAGTTCAGATATGGAGCATGAAAAATTCTCCAGGGCCTGTCTCGTTTTGAGAGAATCTGTGGTCTTAGACGTGTACTTTGCAACCTGTGTGTTTGACAGGTGATGGGCTAATTGCCTGTCTAAAAAAGAGAACTGGTTGCCGCTGGATTGAAGTGGGAGATTAATTGGACCCCGGCAGGGCAAGCTCATGTCCCCCTCAAAATTTAATACAGTCCACAATCCGTGATAGTGAATGCCTGTTTTCCTTTACCAGCTCGTTGTGTCTCTGTACAGCGATGCGGTGACCCTCATTAAGCTGACAGGCGATGTTCACTTTACCCAGCAATGACAACTTTACGCCAGTTCCAATGTGGCTCGTGCTGCATTTGTGTTTACTAATTTTGTCGGATAAATGTTTCAAATCCACAATTCCTTGTTGGGTCCAAGCCGTGTCTCCTCCAAAAAGCAAACAGAAAAGTGAATTCCTGGCTACACTAGCTGTTAGCCAGTCCGTTCGCTGAAACCACGTAACACAAAATTACGATTTTGTAGCTTGTCCTTCTGTGTTATTTGAACATCGCTTGGATGATGTGTCCCCAATCTCTGTACTTCCAATTTTTTTTGAAAAAAGAAAGAAAATTGATAAGAAAGTAAATAATCCACCACGTTCATGTTCATGCTAACGCCCGCCATTACTACAGTTGTTCACTTCCCTCTCTCCACGTTCTACTACGAACTAGCCTCACTGTACAGTGGCTACTGCGCTGTGATTGGTTGAAGGTCACTGTAATGTAGCTTCTGCACTGTGATTGGTCAAAGGTCACTGTACTGTAGCTACTGTGCTGTGATTGGTCGAAGGTCACTGTACTGTAGCTACTGTGCTGTGATTGGTCGAAGGTCACTGGCCTTTGGGCTGAATGAATTTAGCCCAAATGGTGGCGTGTAACGACACCTGTCAATCAAAATTGAAAAGAAGCTTAGGCTACTGTGCTTGGGCTGTAAAAATTAAGCCCATTCACAGGAAAAACCCAAGATATATCATGTATCCTGGTTTTTTTCTGTCACTGTCGCTGTTACTGCTCTAGGTTCCACCAGAATTCTAAACAATATGTTCTAAGGTTTTTAATAATAGTTTTTCATCTTTACTGTAAAAGATGGTATATACATATATATCAGCCGTCCCTGCAGACATTTGTTGTTTGCCAATTGATGATGCAGATTATCTTAAAATTCTAGATAATTGGCCAATTAATCTCTCATGGTCTAAGAGCGACTGCCCTCACACACATTGAAAGTAACAACACCTACATCAGAATGCTGTTTGTTAATTTCAGCTCAGCTTTCAACACAAATTGCCCCCATGCAAATGTAGCACTCTTGGCTTCTGGGGTACTGACAGTTGACCAGCCACCTTGCACAGTACAAAATATCCACTTACTTACCCTTTCTTACATCTCTTAGGTCAAAATCCCGTCGCCTTCCAGGTCCTGATGCATTTACAGGAGACAGCTGGGCAAAACACAAGCAGCAGAAGGCTCTGGGCCAGCTGAGCCAGTGTGAGCTGAATCAGGTTAGTAAAGATAAGATCACTCTGCTACAGTTAACAGCTACAGTTACTTATGTAACAGCAGCATCATACAATAAGGCTACATTTGTTGGCTAGACTGAGTAAAACAATGACTGACTTCTTCCAGGTTTGTTGGTTCAACCAATGGACAAGCAGGTCTATTCATAAAAATAAATAAAGTTAGTATTCAGGGTCCCTGGGATTCTTGTTAATGCTATCACTGCATAGCTGCAGTGATGAGGGTCAAGCTGTACCACATTTTCCCTGAAGGATGAGATTAGACATATTTCCCAGGGTCAGACTGGCTGTGTCTCCTCATAGAGGTAGTGCAAGGTTCTAGGTGGGATCATGTGTGATTCAAGGTGAGCTAGGTAAGCTTAGACTTTGTTTTGAACCAGATCTTTGCATATGCTTAACTGGTTTGGCATTGCACTGTGCTTCGATTGTAAGGCAGATTCTCCTCGGCTGCTGTGTAAGTCATCAAGGTCTCTTGAAATCTTCTTTGAGTGCAAGTTTTTTCTTTTCATCTGAGTTTTTCCATTACACTCATGTAATCCTTATTGTCACATTTGTTCTTATCTATATCTTCAAAAGACTTATAGCTTAAAAGCCTTGAATTTACATGATAATTTTATACAGGAAAGCTTTTAAGTTCTGAAGTCTGTTAAGCTAAGGATTGTGTGAATAGTTAATTTTTCTAGTTTTCTCCATCTGATGATGTTGTTACAGGAGAGACACAGCACTTCACCAGCCATGTCAGTAGTCAAAACATTTCATGACGACCTCTCTGTCAATTTTGAAATTGAGGAAAGCCTTGAAGGACAGCAGGTGCTCACATAGCTGTGGTAATCGTTGGAGCTGTTTTCTGTGGACTGCAGCATTTGTTAATGATGTATACATGATAGACTGTAACATAACTGGTGGAGAGAGATTTGACCAGCAATGGACAAATGAATTAGAGAATAGACTAGCTCTGTAGTCAATAGAAGAAGAACTGTAAATACAACTGAAATGTACTGGTCCATATTATAAACTTAAAGAGATATCAACATGTCATCACAGGTGGTCTTTGTTAATGGTAAATGGACTGTAGTTGTATAGCACCTTGCTAGTCTTCCGACCACTCAAGCGCTTTTACACTACATGCCACATTCGCCCTTTCACACACATTTACACAGCGATGGTAAAGCCCATCAAAAAGAAACTAACTCAATCATGCACATTCACACACTGATGACGGGGAGCAATTTGGGATTCATTAACTTGCTCAAGGACACTTCAACATGCAGGGGGAAGGACCCGGGGATCGAACCAACAGCCTTTACCAATGATACTAATTAAGGTTCTGTTCCATTTATTAGTGTAGCAGAGCCTTTCCAGTGTGCCAACGTGCACAGTGGCAGCACCCTGACTCTGTTTTCCATGAATAGAACATCAATTCATATCACCTTAGAATGAGCCTACAGACACTGCGGGTCACCTTCCATGGAGTCTACCATGTTGATCTGCCATGTTTCTACAGTAGCCCTGAAGGGACAAACCAAACAATGACTCTAGATAGGAGCATTGTTTCTCACTGTAGTTTCTCCTTCGCACTTAGAAGGGGAGGGCGAGGAGACAGGGTTGTGATCTGCAACTACACCACTAGATGCCACTAGATCCTACACATTGAACCTTTTAAGTGCAGGTTCAGCCTGCTTTACTGATACAGCCCCTTAATAGAAGCTGTCAGTGGCTTGAGAGTAGTTACATCAGTTACCTCATAACCTCTGTTCTTTGCTTTGTAGAACCCAACTTTGAAAGGCAATGGGAAGAAGTGTCAGGACTCACCTTATACAAAGAAAGGGGCCAATGACAGTGGAGCCAGTAACCAGCAGGTGAAAACCATATTAGTAAGTACAAAACCATATTTTACCTCTCATGCTGTTTTTACTTTAGTAAGATCACATGTGATACTGACCAACATTCAAAAAGTGAAATTGACATTCTGAACTATTTTTGCACTTATTCGAGTTTTACAATTACAAAGTGTACTCTTATAATATTTCTACAGAAAGAAGATAAAAGAATTCAACCCAGAAGACTACAAGACAGTTTTGAGAGAGGTATGGTTTGCATTGTTACCATGTCTAACTTTGAGGTCGTACCCATTCTGCTAATATATATGTATATAAACTAAATATATATAACTATAAAATACTTTCACCGCTGCACTGTAACTGCTGTGACATCATTAATACTTCCTTTAATACTGGATATCTACCGAGTCTGATTTGATCAACTGATCGACTTGGAGCAACTGCTAAAACTGACGTGACGCGATCCACTAGAGAGATCTATCTTGTCTCCCTCTGCTGGATTTGTTGGAACTACAGAAACTCAGTCCACTTGCAATTGTACAGTGGTATTACAGACTGATGCTTCTTTTGGCAAGTACAGACATCTAGTTACACTTGGAGTGAAAAGTTGATTAACAATAGTTGATATGATCTGCCACAGGCAACGTTTGCTGTTTTAACCAGCCAAAGAAATCTGGCTACAAATGATCAAAAAAGTTGGCTGATCGTGATTAGCATGATCGCTTAGTGAATCAGTCCATTCTGCCAACCTCATTGTCTGAACCAGTGTGACCAATTTGTTTTCCATTCACACACTTACTAATTTTCACTTGGATATGCAGCAGAATGTCATTTGGCAATACATATAGGAAAACAGGAAAACCAAGTTCAGTGAAACTATATTTGAGCTTACAGTATGTGGTGTATGTATGTTGAGTTGAAAAGCTGTTGGAGGAATTTTCTTGAAAGAGCTGGTCCATTTAAACCCAGGAAAATATTCAGTCACTTTGCTATTATTATGTTAAATTGTAAGCTTGGCTCTAGACAACTTTGAAGTCCAGCTGAAGCGGAAATCAGAGAGCTTACTTCCGCACAGGCAGATAAGGTGGGACATGTAGCTGTAGCCAATAGCATTGTGTGTTTTTCCCCCCAGTCCAGTAGCTGTAGCGGTCCTATTAGCTGACTCTGCCGGGACTGAAAACTTCCTGTCAAAAACACTTCCAAACCACTGAATGCAGTATCCAATGCAGACAGAGGACAGTTTGACAACAGTGAATAAAGTACTGAGGTGTTTTTATTGCCGGTTTGGCTCCTGACACCCTGGGGATAAGTTGGCTAATGTTACCTACATAAGATAACAGCATCTAACATTACTGTTTGTGACAATTTTCTTTTAGCAACTAGTCTATCCGGAAACTCCCCTCTATAAATCACTCTGTACCACTGTCGTCAAACTGGCCTCTGTCTGTCTCAGAGGCTGTGTGAGCTCCATTAAATAAGATCCAGTTTCACCCAAATCAGTCAAAGTTTATACAAGTGAAGTGAACACTGTGTTTTGAATTCATTAATTAATTGAATTAAATTAACGTACCACGTGAACACTTTCCAGGAGACTATGAGGACATTGTGGGAAAAATAGGGGGCCCATCAAATAATCAGTAAATGGTAATCAATTGCCATTGCTGCTATATGAAAACACATATGGGCAGCAGTTGTGGTACAAAAAGTGCACATTTAATTGTATGCTGGGACAACAGCAAACCAAATTGGGAATAAAAATACTGTTCACAATAGCTTCAGACCTTGGTAAGATTAAAGACTGAGTGAGCATCGTCCACAAATGAAACATGTAATGAGCTTTTCTTTTCACAGATATGGCTCCATGCAGCTCCAACGAATACCACAGCAAAGTCTGTGAGCACCTGCTGTCCTCCAAGGCTTTCCTCAATTTTAAATTTGACAGAGAGGCCATCATGAAATGTTTTGACTACTGACGAAGTGCTGTGTTTCTCCTGTAACAACATCAAACTATGGCCTCTGACACTTTTTACCTTATAGTCCAGTCAAGGATGTTACCAATTAATTTTTGAATACCTAAATTCATGATTCAATCTGCAGGCGAAAACCCATAGACAAGAGAAACTGCTCAGGTTAACAATTAGTCTTTTAAAGGCAAAAGATCAAGAGTTTTGAGAACATTATCAGTTCAAAGCACATGTGAGGTGTCTGTGAAAAGCACATACTTTCAGCTGTGTTATTTTAGTGAATTTGGGCCATAATCCAGTGTTACATTTATCATGTTAAATATTGATTTTAAAATTTAATAATTTAGGCAATGATCATTTCCTTCATTCTTCAGAAAGGTGGGTATTAACAGTGTTATTGGCTTTATGTATTAACAGTGTTACTGGCTGTATTACCAAAATTGTATCCATAAAAGTAGAATGTAATGGAAAATTAATCTGTGGTATGGAAGTCTATTCATTTCCACCATATATGTGAAAATTTGATTTTAACATTTTAAATTTGCCATACATCATGCACACACAAATGGGAAAATTATATTTCAGTTTGATTAAATATTTTAATCCTAATATATTTTCAGCCACAGGACTTTCATACATTGTTGTGGTGTTTCCACTTGTGTATGGTTTCAGCAGTCTTGTAATCAAAAGCTGTTCTGTCCTGCAGACTAAAGGGTTTACAGATTTAAATTCCTGTTAAGATTTCCACAATCATATTCTTCATTATCTATACTACTATAAACTTGCAGACTCTTGGGCTATGGACCATGATGGAGTACCACTGTGTTAAAGTACTGTGAACATAAGTTATTCTCAAAAACATTACAAATGACTCTTACAAAGGGCCACATTAAGGGGTTTCCAGCAACTAGAGTTGAAAACAAGCTAATTTCATAGAATCAGTTACTGTTTTAGAAGTCTTTAAAGTTCAACCCACAGTCTAAAAATTTATATTTTCTCCATAATATCGTATACATGTATTTTTTTGGAATGTTTGTCACTGGGGGTTCTTGTACAGTGATCTGTAGTTGTCATTTGGCTTTAGTGGTGTTTTGAAATAAAATGTGAATATTAATAAAGTTGTTTTTTCACTCTCTGCTGTTGACTTGTTATAATATTGACATTAGTTTTAAATATACATTATGTCAAACATTTCAGAGTTTTTTTTATATTGTAAAATTGTCTACTTTTTTACTAATCTACATGCCAGTATTCAGTCATAGTGACAACTAATACTGGCAACAGGAAGAGATGTTTTATATTTAGGTCTGTTCCTCCTTACAGGTTCATCAGATCAGCTTTATTTGGTCAAAATCAGGGGTGGACTGTGACAAAAATTCAGCCCTGGCATTTTCTGTCCAGACCAGCCCACTACATTATCAGCAGACACTACATAGATGTCCACAAATCTCACAGCATCTCCTCTCATGCATACTACAAAGGAGAGTCATATTCCTTGATAGCAGTTAACAAATAAAGCACGTAACTATGAACTCAAGGACTAAAACTGTCTTTATTCATTATAGTGTCAAATCACAACAGAAGTTATGTCATGACTAGGGGTTGAACGAGACTAACGGGAAGAACCCTCATGCTACCCTTTCAGTTTTTAGTCTGTGACTGAAAATCTTTTGGTGTAAGCCCAGCATTAGTTAAAACCAGACAATAATAACAAAATATCCTGACAAATAATCTAAATATAAACATATTACAGACAGTAGCAGCATTAGAGCTGAAACTCATTTGTTTTAACGGTGACTCAGTCATTATGAAACCATAAATAGAGAATTGAAAAAAAAAAAAATTATCTATAGCTGTGTGAAAAAGTCTAAGACATGCATTACAGGTCTGAATAGATACGCATTCTCGTATACGTGTATGTGCACATGTATATATTGCCCTACTTCCTTGTCCGCAGCCAGCCAGCTCCACTCCTCACCAAATTCATGACCTGCAAGAAACAAACAGAACTTGTACTCAGCATCGGTGTACTGACAAGTATATGTAGCCTTTTTGTGATGTAGTGGCACTTAGTGAACAAATGTATCTGTCATGAAGGATGACTTAAGTCTCAAAAGAGCCCTAAGGCCTACCTGCATAACTGTTAATTGAACTTAAAAGATATGCAGATGTTTGAAATTAAAATCATCAATATGAAAATCTTCAACCAGGAAATAATCATAATCAAACCTTTTGTTTCAATCCGAGACTAAACAAGTTGCATAATAAACTCACAAAGTCAAGACGAAGCTCTCTCTCTCTCTCTCTCTCTCTCTCTCTCTCTCTCTCTCTCTCTCTTAGCATCATAGAAGAACTTCTAGCAGGTCAGGAAAACCTGTTTGACAGGAGATGATGGTTGCAGAGAATATAAAGAGACATTTATGAATTACCAATTGTCATTTTATCACACATATAGTATATTTCTTCACATGAGCCTTTAAACATACACATATTGCATTCCTCTCACCACATGAAATAAGCTCAGGAACCCAAAGTGTCCCAGTGAATGATGGAGGAGACAAAGCAGGTCCTCAAAAGGGGACAGAGGGAAAACAACTCCTTAGGCTCTCATATATAGGGTGGTCAACCTAAAAGAGACATGGAAACATTATTAAGTCATCATCACAAATCAAGTATAAATTCATATAACATTATAAGACACATGACATACTCAACAAATCAGAGACGTCTCAGTAGCCAAAAAGTGGTGAAGTGGAGGCAGTAAGAGAGCAAGTCCTTGAAAATGGACGGAGGGGGAACAACTCCTCAGGCTCTCACATGTCAAGTGGTCAACCTGAGAGGGACATGGATACATTATTAATATAATTTCATAAAACATAAAAAATTATAAACTCACCATACTAGAGGAGACTCAACAGCCAAACTTTGGTGCAGTGAAGGCAGAGAGTGGAGGCAGAGAGAGAGAGCAAGTCCTCGAACACGGACGGAGGGGGAACAACTCCTCAAGCTCTCACATGTCAAGTGGTCAGTTATCACCTCAGTAAACAATAAATTAATTGAAAGATTACAATAAATTCAATGGCAAATATTGCAAATTAAACTAATTATTTCCTATAGGTTTACTTGTATTTTGTGCTTAAATTCAAAGTATCTCATCTGTATTTACCATACAGCTTGATTCTGCATCTCTATTTACAGCTCATTAGTCCTTGTCAATGTTTACTGTTGCTATGGCAACAAGAGACTGCTGACGTTAGCAGCTGTTAGCTAGCTTAGCTAAATCATCTGAACAATAATAACCCATAATATCACAATTCGGCATATTTAAACAAAATCAACCACAACTACAACAGTCACAGCCCTTCAACTCTGGGCTAATATGTTGTCACAAGTATGCCGTTAATTAACTTAGGTCACATCACATTCAATGTAAAAACGTTTTCTACTTTGTTTTGGACATGTCTCAAAATGTAGCCTAGCCAGCCTCAGGCTAACGTTACTCACCATGTCTGCCTCCACTCGCTCGTCTCCCAGCGCAGCAGCACCTGCTGGGGTGGTGACCCCGGCACAAAATAGTTCTGTCAATTTCGAACATTTAGCAGCTTCCACCTCCAGAGACTTCAGCTTTTTAAGTCGCAGTTTTTCAGCGCAACCCTGGCGTTTCTTACGTTTATCCATTTTTAGCTCAGCAGCAGCCCGTCCCGCGACTCCGGCCCATGCCATGAGGTCCCGCCCACCCTGGTTTGTGTTGTGATTAACAGCACTGTCAGGGCTCTCTGAGCCTGTCAGCCCATGATTGATTGACAATGAGAAACATAGACCAATAATATGTGTGGATGCTTAACACACTGCTAGCCCTCTGTAGCCAATTTGCCGGCCAAATTGGAGGGAATTTAGAGAGAGGGAAAAAAAACTGGTTTTCCAGTCCCTTTTAAGAGAGTTAAAATACCAGATGGGATGGCATCCATAACAATTGCAAACTCTTTTGGGGTGATTGGAATGCCAATGTGAAGGAATTCAGTATAATTCAGCAATGTTCCATTATCATTTAGTAATTGGGATACTATACTAGCTATTTAATAAGCCGATTATTCCAGATGAAGCACCTATGTGGGGAGAAGTTATGTTTGTAGATTAACGACCATGCTAAGAGCATTTGTTTGTGGAATTTAGATAAAATTAAGGGAATTTCTTCTATTTTATAATCACACAAAAGTAAATATTCTAGACCTCCAACCTAGGAGAAAATATAGTTAGGTATAAAATTCCATGTAGATGTGGGATTTTTTAGAAAATGCTTTATCCAATTTATTTTAAAAGTATAATTATTTATTTATTATTAAGGGTTGTAAAATCAAGAAAGTTTAGACCACCGCGTTCAAAAGTGTTCATAATAACAGATTTTTTTCTGTTTTTCCAGATAAAATTGAAAAGTAATTTATCAATGGAATTACAGAGCTTTTTGTTGACAAACAAGGGGATAGCTGCATAAGTAAGTAAGACGGGATAAACCTTCTGCCTTTGTCAACAATACTCATCCTTTCAAGGATAAATCTCTCTGCAGCCATTGATTAAGCTTTTTCTTTGTCTTATCACTAATCAAATTAAAGTTTACAGAGCATCTCTCCTCATTTTCCATTATAGTAATCCCTAGATAAGTAATCTTATCTTTAATTGGTATGTTACAAACCTGGGAGGTGTCGCTTTCTTTAAGGTAAAAAAGTTCACACTTCTTCAGATTTAAGTAGAGTCCAGAAGCTGCGGAAAACAATTCTATTGTTTTGATAGCAATTGGCACTTGGCTGGCATTTTTTAAAAATAATGTAGTATCATCTGCTAGTTGGGTGAGGATAACTTCTCTTTCTGCAATTGAAATTCCTTTTAAAGCACTATTTTTAATATGGGTGGAAAGACGTTGTGTACATAAAATTAATAGGTAGGGAGAGGCAGGGCAGCCCTGCCAGATGCCTCTTTGCAGCTCAAATATCAGCAATGTCCCATTTTTTAATCTGATAGAGCTATTGCCTTTGGAGAACATTGTTCTAACAGCTTTACAGAAAAAATCACCAAAATCAAATTTCTAAATAGTAGAAATATAAAGTTATGTTCTACTGTGTCAAAGGCTTTATAGAAGTCCAAGAAAAAGATAAAACTATCATCAGGACATAAAAATGAATAATCAATTATATCTAAGACAATCCGAATATTGTTTGAGATATCTCTTTTTCTCGTGAATCCTGATTGGACTTCATCAATAATAGCGTCTAAAACATTTTTTAATCATTTTGCAAGTATTGAGGCAAAAATTTTGTAATCAGTGTTTAGTAATGAAATAGGTCGCAATAAACAGAGGAGCCTTTTTGGGTTTGGGGATTAACGTAATTAAGCCTTGGGTCAGTGAAGGAAGTAGAGAACCTTTTTCAACACTTTCTAATATTACTTCCAGTAGAAAGGGAGCTAAATCTTGTGTGAAAACCTGATAAAACTCTGCAGAGAGGGCATCAACTCCAGGAGATTTGTTAGTTTTACAATGTTCAATTGCAAATGTGATTTCCTGCAAGGTTATAGGGTCATCGCAGAATTTCCTATCATCTTAAGAGATTGGTGTGACGATAAGAGGGTTCAAGAATGTAGTGGTTGATTGATGGCAATATTTCGATTTAAAATTTCTACATTATTATCTATTTGAAAAGTGTCCTGTAACTTCTGTTATGAATTGGCACTATACAAATAAAATTTAATTTAATTCTTTTTGGCCATCTAGATGTATTTCTGTCCAAACGACAAATTATATTAATTTATTTTTTAAAAGACTGCAGACAACAGTAACCAAGATGAGCTTTATTCATATATTGTGACAGTCAATGGTTATGCTGTGTAAGGTTTATGAGGGTATGTGGACGTTCATGGTAGCAGTTCAAGCACAGAGCCCAGCTAGCTAAATCCACACTTTGTTAAAATCAAGCAGATACAAGGGACTTATGTTTATGTAGCACTAAGTAGTTACTTTGCCTCATTTCTTTCATCTAAGTTAATTACCGATTTTACAGTAATCATTTGGCACTCCCTATATTAGCCTTTTCAGATTTTCCTCCCAACAGTCAAATACCTATGGTCTCACTTATCCAGGTTTTGAGATCCAAATCCCTCTGTAAGCACTGACCTGAGATCCTTCTGAGCCATGAGTTGTCCCAGGTGGCTGAGACTGCAGGTAAAAACTGAAATGATTGCCCACCCATCTGCACACCAGGGATAAATTCAAAGCAATAAGAAAGGGTGTCCAAAGGAGCAGTGTGTAGGATTTAGTGGGATCTAGTAGTGAAGTTGCAGATTGCAACCAACTAAATAATGCCTGCTTTCCAAGTGTGCAGTAGAAACTACAGTGACCTATCCAGAGCTAATGGTTGGACTTTGTGGTTTAACGTGAAAGCCTTCATGGAAGGGCACCTGCCCCCTCTGTAGATAGAAATGACTCATTCAGGTCATTATACATGAAAATTATGAAATTAAAATGAAAATTATATTCCATTTCTGCCAATAGATCCTCCTGAATGTTACACGCTGGACCTTTAAAATTACATCAACAATAGGCACCCAAGGATAAAAAAAATTACATTTACCTCAATCATTTGGCTTTGGACAAACTGGCTTCTTCCATGCGACTTATTTGTTTGTTTAACTGAACAAAAATCACTGGGAACATCATACAAAGATATTAGATTAAAGCTCGCTTGTGTCCAAACTGGGATAAGTAAAAGAAAAATCTGTTTATTAACAAAATAACTTTACTTGAATGGGGTGCAATATGTACACATCAAAATCAATACAACACAGAACAATGATAACAATAACAATAAAACAGCAGAACTATTAAGTATAATAAAATAATCCAACAATGTATAAAAATACAGTGGCTTGATTTATTTATTTTTTTCTTCTGTTTCTTTTTTTTTTAATTTTTACTTGTTACCTTTTCCTAAGTTTCATAACTTTAACAGTGATGATCTGTGAACCTGTAGAAACTATAAAGCTAAACACAGATTAAGTATTTAAAACCAGTATTAACATATCAGAACAGACAGAAGTGAAAAGAACGTCATTCCTGTTGCTGGTACTTGCTTGTCTACTTTGTACTTTGTTGTTTTTACAGGTTATCTACTCCACGGATCCTCCTGGCCAGCTGAATGTCACGGGGGAACACGGTGACCCGCTTGGCATGGATGGCACACAGGTTGGCGTCTGAGAATAGCATGACAAGGAACGCCTCTGCTGCCTAGGAGGACGAGGAGAAGGAACAAAACCACGTGAATTTAAATCAAAGAAATTACAAACTATGTCAGCACTAACATGACCAGATATTTAGCCTGCTAGATATTTTTTGGGCCCTAAACGGGACTGTTTTCTTAATCCCGCTCCCACTGGATTTCTGACGATTACCATCTGCTCCTGCTATGTGCTTTTCCACTCCCACAAACAATATGACCATTCATGTCCACACAATAGAGATTTTGTGTTTTCTCCTGTCCCATGGGTTAAATTTTTTTATTTTACTGTCAGTAACAACTGAGGAATTTCTCCAGATGTCAGGCTTGCCTTGCTTTGCTTTTGTTTTATAAAAACACGCTTTAATCTTCTGGTCAACTTCATTTGTTGTACATCTCCATCCTTTGGGACCTGCAGTTTATTTTTTGACCTCCCGCCCACAGCGAAGTCAAAACCGCCTACCCGTCTAAGTTAGGGATGTAACGAGAATCGATCCAATCCAATCCAATCCAACATTATTTGTTAAGCACTTTAAAACAACCAAAGTTGACCAAAGTGCTGTACAGGAGAATAAATAAGACATCATAAATAAAAGACATAACAGCTCACATGAGGCGCAAAATTACATATAATACAACAATAAAATGAAAAGACATAAAACATGAGTAAAAGTAATAACCACGCAATAAAAAGCAATCAAAATAAGAAATTAAATCAAGTAAATAAAGTCAACATCTTACTAGGTGTCAATGGCCACAGAGAAGAGATGGGTTTTAAGACTGGTTTTAAAAACAGACAGAGAAGAGGCCTGTTTACCGTGCAGAGGCAGATCATTCCATAATTTAGGAGCAGACACAGCAAAGGCACGGTCCCCTCTGAGCTTCCACTTAGTTTTAGGCACACTCAGGAGCAGCTGATCATCTGACCTGAGGGGGCGGACGGCTATATAGGGGTGTATAAGCTCAGAGAGGTAGGGCGGGGCAAGACCATTCAGGGATTTAAAAGCAAATAAAAGAATTTTAAAATGGATCCTAAATTGAATAGGCAGCCAGTGGAGTGAGGCTAAAATGGGAGAAATGTGCTCATGTTTACGTGTGCCAGTTAAAAGAGGTGCGGCAGCATTCTGTACCATCTGGAGACGGGCGATGGAGGACCCATTAACCGCCACATACAGTGCATTACAGTAATCCAGCCGAGTGGTAACAAAGGTGTGGATTACCGTCTCAAAGTGCTGCCTTGATAGAATTGGCTTTATTTTGGCCAGCTGCCTCAAATGGAAAAAGCTTGATTTGACAACAGCCTTGATCTGACTGTCAAACTTAAGCTCAGTGTACACTTTAACCCCTAGGTTTGTGATGCTAGGTTTAATATACTGGGCCAAGGAACCCAGATCTACAGGGGGGGGGTCCCTGTGGTGCCACCAAAAACCATCACTTCCGTCTTTTTATCATTGAAATTTAAAAAGTTCAGAGCCATCCAGGCCTTTATGTCGTCGAGGCACTTAAGCAGCAGTCTGACAGAGTATTCATTTTTCTTTTTAAGAGGTACATAAATCTGACTGTCGTCTGCGTAACAGTGGAATGAAAAGCCGTGCTTCCTAAGTATGGAACCAAGTGGGAGCAAATAGAGAGAGAAAAGGAGAGGGCCAAGAACTGAGCCCTGTGGGACCCCACACGAGAGAGGAGCAGAGGAGGATACAGAGTCACCTAGGCTGACACAGAAAGTTCGATCAGCCAAGTACGACCTGAACCACTCCAGTGCTATGCCCCTGATACCCACCCACTGCTTCAAACGTGAGATCAGTATTTCATGATCTACTGTGTCAAATGCAGCAGTTAAATCTAAAAGCACAAGGATAACACAGTCACCAGAGTCAGTAGCTAAAAAGATATCATTAAAAACTCTTAAGAGAGCTGATTCTGTGCTGTGCACGGTTTTAAAACCAGATTTGAAAACCTCTAGAATATTATGTTCTTCCAGAAAGGCCATTAATTGACTGCACAATCTTCTCCAGGATTTTTGAAAGGAAAGGCAGTTTGGAGATAGGCCTGAAATTAGCAAGAACTGCAGGATCTAGAGCAGATTTTTTAATCAGAGGTTGTACTACTGCATGTTTAAATTTTTCAGGGACCACACCTGAGGTCAGATTGCTATTTATGACTGCAATAACAGATGGTCCTACAGTGGGGAAAACCTCCTTAAATAGTCGAGGGGGGACAGCATCATTTGGAGAACCTGAGGGCTTCAAATGACCAACAACCTCCTGTAAAAAGGAAAAAGTCACAGGCTCAAACTGGTCAAAATCAGCAGAGCAGGGGACAGAGATTGAGGGGTCATAAGCTGAAGGTGAGATTTGAGCCCTAATTGAAGTGACCTTATCAATAAAAAAGTGAAGGAAGTTTTCACACACAGCAGGGGACGCCTCCATACAGGCAGTCTGTGGGGCATTCAGAAGTGAGTCAATAGTGTTAAACAAAACACGAGGCTTGTGACAGTTTGACAGGATAATATCTGAGAAATGTTTTCTTTTAGCATCTTTCACAGTTTTTTGATAATGACGCCAGCAGTCCATTAACATTTGAAAAGACACCTGCAGTTTGTCCTTCTTCCACTTGTGCTCAGCTCTACGGCACTCACGTCTGACCGCATGAGTCGTGTCATTTAGCCAGGGCTCAGATTTAGTTTTAGGCTGCATGGATTTTAATGGAGCCACAGTGTCTAAAACAGTTTGGCAGGTGGAGTGAAACAATGAGCTAAGCTCCTCTGTACTGCATACAGACTCAGGAAAGATGGAGTTCTGACTGAAAGAAACCGAGAACTGAACAGCAGTGGAAGGGTTAATAATGCGACAGCGCCGAGCAGCAGCGCAAGGTTTAACTGTATGACAGGCAAGAGCAGCCTCAAATAATACAGGCATATGATCAGAAAAACACTGTGTCACATATCTCTAGGTTAAAAACGGGCAAACCATATGATAAGACAAGATCAAGTGTGTGCCCGTGTTCTTGTTTGGGTCCAGACACAGATTGCACAAGATTAAAAGAATCAATGAGGTTTAAAAAACCCTTTGCCATTGGCTTATCAGGACAACACACATGAACATTAAAATCCCCAACAATAAGAACACGGTCATATTTAGGCATGATTTCAGCCAGGAAATCAGAGAAGTCATTTAAAAAATCCTTATTGTACTTGAGAGGCCGATAGACCACAGCACACAACACTGTGTGAGAGCGACCAAGCTCAAATAAGCTCAGTTCAAAGCTGGTGAAAGAGGATGACAGCAATAGCTGCTTACATTTATAATGACTCTTATAGACAGTCGCTATTCCTCCTCCTTGGCCCGACATCCGCGGGGAGTTAAAGTAGCAGCAATCATGGGGTAAAAGTTCAGTGAAAGCGCTGGATTCACCAACACTCAGCCATGTCTCAGTCACACAGAGGAAATCCAATCCTTGGGATGTGAAGAAATCCTTTAAGACAAAAGTCTTGTTCGCTAGTGATCTAGCATTTACCAGGCCAATCCTGGCAGGAACCGGAGGGGCCGCGGCGTTGGCTGTCTGTGGAGCCCGGCACAGAGGCCGCAAGTTGCGGTGATTCACCCCGCACCAGCGGGGATGAGGAGAGCAGGGGGTGACATTGGAGTCCGGTATCTGCTCAATGATTGCAGGGATGTAGGGTTTAAACCTCCTCTTCATCATCCTCCGCTTAACTCCCGCTCTGCAGCCTCGCCGTCTCCTCCTCAGCTCCTCCGGTATGGAGGGTCTCTCTCCAGTCAGGATGCTAGGGTACCTCAGGGCGATGATCTGGTCGCGGGTGTAAACAATGCGACTCTCCGTCGCCATGGAGACCAGCGTAAACAAAAAATAAGAAGTGCTCAAAAACGCCGAAAAAGTATTTAGGCGACGCGGACAAAGTAATAAGAAAGTAAGAAAACAGTTAAAAATAGCAAAGAAACACAGGCTAAAAACACTGAAAACACACTAAAATTACAACAATGATAGGAGCTGCAATGACAGGCTGCCGTTGTCACCGGCGCCATTCTGGAATCTCTATAATATTCAATACGGGTGGCAATGGCGCAGAGGAAGAGCAGGTCGTCCACTAATCAGAAGGTTGTTGTTTCGATCCCTGGCTCCTCCCGCCACATGTCATAGTATCCTTGAGCAAGATACTGAACCCCAAATTGCTCCCGATGCTGTGCATCGGTGTGTGAATGTGTATGAATGGATGATGTAGTTTCCGTTCGATGGCCTTTGGGTGAATGTGTGTGAAAGGTTGAATGTGGCACGTAGTGTAAAAGCGCTTTGTGTGGTCGGAAGACTAGAAAGGCGCTATGCAAGTACAGGTCCATTTACCATTTACTTTTCGTACCAATCACTACTTTTTGAAAACTTGACGGTACTTGTTTTTTTTACAGAACCTCTTGATTTTCATTTCAGTGCCCATGTTAACATGTCAGAACAGCACTGTGTCATCTGGAGATTCGGTAATGTGTTGTTATCTGTCTAAACCGAATATAAATGAAATTTCTAATGAAATTAACTTTTTATTATTAATGGCCAATATCACTGGCAAATTCAGAGTAGACAGATATCGTTGCCAATAGCAGCAATTCTGTCTGTGTGGACACACATGCAGGCCACAGCAGTTCAGCCATGTAGCCGTCACACATACACCGCATTCCAAACTATTATGCAAATGATATTTTTCACAGGTTTTCCTAAATAGTCGATGCAAATGACAGTCAGTATAATTTTCAAGTCATCAACCATTAGAGTGTAATACAAATTTTATTGAACAAATCCCCTAATGATAACAGATTTTTTTTTTTTCTCAAAATGCACTGTTCCAAATTATTATGAAAGAGAGATCAAAACATTTTAAAGGTTGTAAAGAGAACTAAAATGGTAATTTGTTGAATTTGCAGCATCAGGAGATCATATTTACAGAAATAAAAGCTATTTCAATCAAAAAAATCTTAACAGGCCAAGTTACATGTTAACATAGGACCCCTTCTTTGATATCGCCTTCACAATTCTTGCATCCATTGAACTTGTGAGTTGTTGGAGAGTTTCTGCTTGAATATCTTTGCAGGATGTCAGAACAGCCTCCCAGAGCTGCTGTTTTGATGTGAACTGCCTCCCACCCTCATAGAGCTTTTGCTTGAGGATGCTCCAAAGGTTCTCAATAGGTTGAGGTCAGGGGAAGATGGGGGCCACACCATGAGTTTCTCTCCTTTTATGCCCATAGCAGCCAATGACACAGACGTATTCTTTGCAGCATGAGATGGTGCATTGTCATGCATGAAGATAATTTTGCTACGGAAGGCATGGTTCTTCTTTTTGTACCATGGAAGAAGGTGGTCGGTCTGAAACTCTACATACTTTGCAGAGGTAATTTTCACACCGTCAGGGACCCTAAAGGGACCTACTGGCTCTCTCCCCATGATTCCAGCCCAAAACATGATCCCGCCACCTCCTTCTGACATCGCAGCCTTGTTGGGACATGGTGGCCATTCACCAACCATCCACTACTCCATCCATCTGGACCATCCAGGGTTGCACGGCACTCATCAGTAAACAACACGGTTTGAAAATTAGTCTTCAAGTATTTCTGAGCCCACTGCAACCGTTTCTGCTTGGGAGCATTGTTTAGGGGTGGCCGGATAATAGGTTTATGCACACTTGCAAACCTCTGGAGGATCCCACACCTTGAGGTTTGCGGGACTCCAGAGGCACCAGCAGCTTCAAATACCTGTTTGCTGCTTTTCAATAGCATTTTAGCAGCTGCTCTCCTAATCCTACGAATTTGTCTGGCAGAAACCTTCCTCATTATGCCTTTATCTGCATGAACCCGTCTGTGCTCTGAATCAGCCACAAATCTCTTCCCAGTACGATGATCACGCTTAAGTTTTCTTGAAATATCCAATGTTTTCATACCTTGTCCAAGGTATTGCACTATTTCACGCTTTTCAGCAGCAGAGAGATCCTTTTTCTTTCCCATATTGCTTGAAACCTGTGGCCTGCTTAATAATGTGGAACATCCTTCTTAAGTAGTTTTCCTTTGATTGGGCTCACCTGGCAAACTAATTATCAAAGGTGTCTGAGATTGATTTCAATGATCCAAAGAGCCCTGAGACACAATACTATCCATGAGTTTAATTGAAAAACTAAAAATTAAATGTTTATGACACTTAAATCCAATGTGCATAATAATTTGGAATGCGGTGTAGGTAGAGGCAGGCAGTGTGGCCCTAGCATCAGCCATTTTGAGTATGCTTACCACAAGTAAATACTGCCCACTGAATTGTCTGCACTGCTAAGAATGACAATTAACCCCGTGGTGGAGACAACTGCTTACCTCCTGCAGGGCCATCAAAGCATAGATCTGCCACCTGAGAGCATCTTTGGAAAAACTCTGGCACACCTCACGAACCTGAACCAAGAAGAGAAAAGAGATTATGGAGTTAATTTAATTTGCAAAACTGCCTGTAACTTTCACCAGGGTTCGAAATTAACCATGGCCCAATGGCCTGTGTGAGTAACGTTACTCTGTGGCCACCAAAGTTTATCCAAAGTTGGAGTACAGCTGTTACTGTGTGTTTCGCTTGCATTACGTTACTATGGCGTCTTGTATGGAGCCATTATTGGAGCAAAACTATTTACAAATGTGTGTGGAGAGTTGTGTAACTGCATCTCAATCTGTGTGTGAGTAATCAGATCTGTGAATGTGTAAAATAATCTGTAAATATGTAAAGATAGTGTAAAGACTTTGTACACGTGTGGACAAATCTGTAAATGCGTGGACAAATCTGTAAGTGCAGCAAGTATTTGCTCAAAGAGCTGGAAATACAGAAATATCAGTTACAACTCAGGTGGGACTCTCAATTGGAAGTCCTTTTACACATGAATTTTGCTACATTTCTACCGTGACAGATCTGCAAATGTGTGTGGAGACCTGTGTGTGTCTGAGGAGAGATTTGTTACGGTGGGGTCAGCTCCGGGGTGCCAGGAGGCAAACCCTGCAAGTAAACCACCTCGGCTTCCCTGTTATCAGACTGGTCTCCATCGGTCCTGGGTCGGCCCTATTCACACACGGATTGTAAACACACATTTGCAGATTCCTGTACACATTTACAGATCTGATTATGCACACACAGATTGAAATACAATTACACAACTCTCCACACACATTTGTAAATAGTTTTGTTACAATAATAGCTCCATAGTCTCCAGCCATCACCATCATTTGTCTGATTGCTACGATACTCTACCCCGCAGCTCTGAAACATAGCTGGGAGACCTCCAGTTTTAAGTTATTTTAAGTGTCATTGACTTGTATCATTAAGCTCTAATTCTGCTGTACAAGATGATGCGCAGTAACTTTTAAGGTCCCATGAAGTCAAAATTGATGTGTAATTGTAATTTTTTAGATGATTTCGGGCAACAGAAAAACTAGGAAAAAATGTTGATGACTCCCCTGCACCAGAGCCGGCGCTATGGGATGTCACTAGAACTTCGGTACCAAGTTGTTACCAAAATTCTAAAAACTTGACGGTACTCGTTTTTCTACAGTACCATAGCTACAGAGAAGTTATTTTTTCTGACCTGGTGGTGCATCATACTATTCTAAATACTACAGGAAGAAGAGCATGTAGAAGACAGCGACAAGTGCAGCTGTACAGGTGATTTACTCGCAAAACTATGTGTGCAGTGATCCATGTTGCCAACTCTCTCCTCCATGTCTCTGTCACTGTGCTGTGCTGTGCTGTGCTGTGTGTGTGTGTGTGTGTGTGTGTGTGTGTGTGTGTGTGGGGTAGGAGCTCAGCCTTTTAGTCTCAGTTTCAAATGAGTTCTATTAAATAAATGCATGAAAAGTAGTAGTCATGTACAGTTATATTAACTACGGTTATTAATTATCCAAAACCGAGATAAAAGCAGCTGACTTTTCCCCAAGGCATCTCCTTGCGTAAAAGCAGCAGACTTTGTGATATATTTTACTATAACCCACGACAATCAACAGTGCAACAATCAGAGACAATATGATCATTGGTCCAAAGAAAGAAAAAGCAGCGAACCGGCAACAGGGTCTTGGATCTGACCACATGGGTCAGCCATCGCTCCCCTGTGCATTGCAATTTGTTGTGTGGGGCTGCATAATAAGTATTTGAATTTATTAAAGCATTCAGCAGTCTCTCAGGCTAAAAAAATAATTAGACCAAAAGTGAAGCCATACCATTAAATCATAGTACATACATTACAGATCTTGGACCAGTGCATTTTAGCTGGAAAGCTTTTTTTCAGTTCCTTTGTATATTCCAAAATCTTGGTTTGATAATATAAACAGAATGTCCTCATATTTTTTTGTGGAAGGACAAAAAGCCCAGAATTAATTGGCAAAAATTATTACTGAGAGATAGAGGGGGTCTTGGAATCCCGGATGTGTATTTGTCTTGCATTTAACGCCAGATTCCCTTTAATGTGGGGCTATAAAAAGGACAGAAGCATAGGTAGTTGGGATTGGCTGGAGGAGTGCCTTGTAAAGGACATGAATAAATCAATTGCATTATCATCACTGTAGTATCATCTAGTTCCACCTACAAAGCTAGATAATAGTATTGTTAAGTTCTCATGTAACATTATTAAAAAAGTTCATAAAAATTGACATAGAAATTTCTAGCTTCCTGTCTAATATGCCATAATACTATTTTTAAAGCGGCAGGGAACCCGCTGTCTAACACATGGCAGCATCACAATATTAAAGACATTTTTAAAATTGTAGAGAATTTGGATTATATCCTTTGAGGAGCTTAGAAGGCCAATTCATAACAGAAGTTATCTCAGGACACTTTTCAAACTCCTTAAACATTTACAGAGACCCAACAGTACCACCATGAGCAAGAACTTGGCGACGGGGGCAAGGAAAAACTGCCTATTAAGAGGCAGAAACCTAGGACAGATCCTTCGGCTCTAGGTGGGTGGTCATCTGCCTCGACCAGTTGGGGTGAGAGAGAGAGAGAGAGAGAGAGAGAGAGAGAGAGAGAGAGAGAGAGAGACGCACAGCAACAACAGTAGCAACAACTATACTAATAGTAGTGACTGATGATGATGAACATTAAATTTCGTTGTACCTGTGACAATGACAATAAAGATCTATTCTATTCTATTCTACTGGTTATTTATTTCCACTTCAAGCACTGCTGGTTTTGAGAAAGGAACTGCAGTCTTACCCCCTGACCCTTCCGAGAGCCAATGAGGTTTTTCCTAGTGTTAAAGGAGAAAGCTTGGCCAGTAACACAAGGTGCAGTTATGCTGTGGGTGTGCTAACCAGAGGTGGGATAAGCATTCCCCACCTCACCTTAGGCCATAACCTAAGCAAAAGTACTACCCCACTTTGAAAATACTCCACTACAAGTAAACGTTCTACATTCTAAACCTTACTAAGGTAAAAGTATCTAAATATTATAGCAAAATGTACTAAAAGTAAAAGTACAAAAAGTAAAAGTACTTCACTGAGCATTAAAATGTTCCCTGTCATTATAGCTGATGTTAACTGGATTGGTTAGCTTGGATTAAAATTACTGCTGCATTACTGTAGATGTTGCATTTTACTGCTTTAGAGGTTGGTTCAGTTAATTTCAAATACTTTATATTACATATACTGCTGGGTAGCTTAATCTACAGCAATACATCACATTCTAAAAGAACATCATATGTTTGCACTAGGCTGTATGTGTGAGAGGGTGAGAAGGTGACACTCCTCAAGGTCTGCTGCTGTTGGACTCACCAGACGAGAGAAAGGTCCTTTCCTGAGCAGAAAACCTGTGCTCTTCTGGTACTTGCGGATCTCCATCAAGGCCCTGGTTCCTGGTCGAAACCTTCTCTTCTTGGGAGACACAGGATGATGCTCTGGAAAACAGATGAGCGTGCTTGAGTGTTTGTTGTGATGGCAAGGCAGGTTGGCTTTCCTCAAAAAGAATGAGGGTCAAATATTCTACCAAACACCAGAGGGACATTGTAAAGTTAGTAATCAATGTACTGATATGGTGATGCCCATGTGAATTTTGTGTAGTGAGGAAGTCAGATGAGAATCTGCTGACAGTCAATTCAAAGTTACACTGTAACATTAAAGGACCATTGTACTGAGGAAGGACTAAGGCACTAAGTATAAATACTTAATAATAAATACACAAAAAATAAATACACTTGAATTGTCAGGAGGTCACCAATTGTTCTTCTGTTTCCTTGATGATATGCACTGATCGGTCATAACATTACGACCACCTGGGCACCCTGGTGGTCATAATGTTATGGAGCCCCATATGCAACAAACTGCGATGCACTGTGTGTTCTGACATCTTTCTATCAGAAACAGTATTACATTTTTCAGCACTCTGAGCTACAGTAGCTCATCTGTTAGTTCGGACAACAAGGAGCAGCCTTCGCTCCCCACGTGCAACAGTGAGCCTCGGCCATGACCAGTGGCTGGTCCGGTTCACTGCCTTTCCTTCCCTGGACCACTTTTTATAGGTACTGACCACTGCAGACCCGGAACACCCCACAAGAGCTGCAGTTTTGGAAATGCTCTGATCCAGTCGTCTACCTATCACATTGTGGCCCTTGTTAAAGTCACTCAAATCCTTACACTGCCCATTTTTCCTGTTTCTAACGTATCAACTTGAGGACAAAATGTTTAGTTGCTGCCTAATATATCCCACCCACTGACATGTGCCATGATAACCGGATAATCAGTGTTATTCACTCCTGCCTTGCAGTGACTTATTTCTGAGAATTTAATCATTAGCTCAAAGGTCAGTCCCACTACATAATTCACTCTTACCTGAAATTCCACTCCGTCTTGGGGACTTGGGTTTGGAACCGGGGGTTCCCGAGGCGAACAGGGGTGGGCGACGTTGAGGGGTTTTGCCCTTCCGGCGACTGCTAGCTGAATCGCGACGCATCACCTCCAACACACAGGTCAGGACCACAAAAGGAAAAATACTGCAGCCAAGGTATCACTGGGAAAGACTGAGGAGACAAACAACCAAAAAACAAACCTTTAAATCAACTCTTTACAGGAGATGGATACTTTTTATGGATAATTGTCTTCCATGGAGAGTTCTAAGGTCATGTCAGCCACAGAACATGGACCTTGAAGCTCAAGAGTCTCCACAGGTCTATCGACCCATCAACAATGAAACACTAACTTATTAAAGGGACATTGTGTAGTGTTTTAAGTATTTTATAAGCTAAAATCAATGTCTTCATTCATAAATGTGTCCTCATTGGTGTAAAATTACCTCTGCCAATGATCTGACTTATCCTCTTAAGCGAAGAATTTCTTATCAGTATATACATTGGACGGGCAAGTCCATAGAGGCTTCCATGTCGTTCCGCCATTTTGAAAAACTACAATCGCTGTGAGGGACATAAAGCACTAGCCTACCTGTCTAGCTAATCCACAACGCGTTTTTGTTCAGAGCCAGCGTCACGTGACTGAAACCAGCTATAACGGAGAAGGAGATCAGTGAGAGGCGCTTGTCACTGCCCCAGCACATTTGAAAGTCTGCACTGCACTTTAGTTAATAATGGAGGATCATACTTATGCCGAGCCACAGGAGAAGGAATCCTCGTCGCCAAAAAAGCGAAAAAGGGAATTAAAAAGGCAATGTGACCGGCGAATTCAAAAAACAAGGGTAAACATCGGGGTAGCTTTTCCCAGGTGGAAATAGCTAATGAAGGAGAAAGACTTTCAAAGGGACGCTGAAGTTGCCTGCTTTCTCCTCGACAGGTAGGCTTCTTGGTACATAACGGCTACCGTAGTTGCAATACACATTTGAAAACGCGAGGCACTAGAGAGCACTATTCGTTTGAATGCAAAATACAATTTCACAGCTAGATGGGAGAAATTCCTACACAATGTCCCTTTAAGGATGTATAACATATAAGCTTGTATAAGTAGTGCTGAAATGATTATTAGATAAATGTAACAACAATTCTGATAATCAATTAATCATGAAGCAAAAATGTCAAACATTCTCCACTTCCAGATACTAATGTGTGAATATATATGTTTTTGCTTAGATGGAGTAGAGTGATTTTCCTATATATCCAGAGCAAAACTACAAACAATACATGAAGGGCAGAAATAGGCCAATACCCACTATCACTAAGAAGGGCAATTAACTGTTGGACACACTTAAAACTATGTGACCCCTCTCGTAGCATTACCAAGCCGTGCAATGCCAAGAGCAGAGGAGTAATAGGGTTCCGCTTACCCAACTGATCCTGAGATTCTTAATCCACAGGTCCACAAACCTGCTCTATTCACACACCACAGGAACAGACGTATCACAAATCAGACTCGATCAAATTACAAATCAGTTAAAACTAAATTACATACCCTATTGGAAAACACAAACAAAAGCACAGAGCAAAATCTGGCTCTAAATTGACAGTACACCACATAGTGTTTGAGCATGGTGACTGATCAACAACTAAAAAGAACCTTGACCAAATACAGACTGAGCGAACACAGCCTTGCTATTGAAAAAAGGGGAGACACAGGAAAACCTAGCTCCCTGTAGAGCAAAGACTGTGCTGTCATTCAGTGAACCTGAAACAAAGCTACATTTCCTCAACCAATGTGTAAAATATAAACATCTTAGAGAAACATATTTTAATAAATCTGAATTAATAACAAAAAGGTTTTCTTAACCTATTAGATGAAGAAAAACTACCAGCCCTGTTAGGGGAGGACTCTGCTGCCTGCCATTAACTAAGGGACAGTGAGTGACATTCACTCTACATATGTTGTTGCATTTATATTCAATGATTACTTATTTTGTCTTGTAGTATGTTTCTTTGCTATAATATGATTTCTAATTAATGTTTCGTTTTTTAATGTCCACAAACAACAAGCCCGAGGTAACCAGTTGTTTTAGATCAACCCCAAACAAAATGTTACCTGCTTGGTGCTGAAGTAACCAATCAATACATGACTCGAGTGGCTGAAAGAAGAGAAACGCAGTAAGGTGCGGATTGTATTAGTTTTCCTCTAGCAAGACTGAAACCAGCTTGATGCAATTTGGCCAAACTTATATTTTATTCAATTTATTTTTTGTGTGTGGCTGTAATGTAGGGCTCACTTATACAACCATATTCGCTACTGTATTTATGAGATGCGACATGAAAATCACCAGTAATATGTCTGTGAATGTGTGACGAATCTGGTGACAGAGACACATCAAATCTGCTGTACACAACATGCGCACGCGTACGGCAACCTGTTAGTTCAAAAACCCGTTGGAATATAACACCGGCATAGATGGGGTGATGGTAATCGATATATTTCTTATATTTAACACCATCGGGGTAAACTAGAGGATTCTCTAATCTCTAAACACCTTCGCCTCTCTTAATCTGTGCGCCAATGTCGACTGCATTTTTCTCGACAAGATGTTGGCGGAGAAGAGGTAACAGTTAACGTTAGTTTATAGGTAACGCCGAGTTAACCACTAACGTAACCTGTTTGGAGAAGTTTTGACATGGAGCGTTAATTACTAAGACAGCATACCTCGGGTTAAATTTGTTCACCTTTTCTAATACGAGTTTATTGCCGTTACCCTAGTAGCGATCAGTTTTTTACTCTCTCTCAAATGTTTTCTCGTCAATACCTCCATAGTTTTTTTTGCTTCCTCACTAAACACAACATATGATATGTGGCCTCATTCGTGATATTACTGGGATACATTTGGTGTAACGTTAAACATTTGTGAGATCACGAAAATACCTTTGAAGATGCAAGCTGCGGAAAATTCTCTCACGTTAAATGTAATGTAATCTAATTAGCTAACTGCTAGCTTTAACTTAACTCCCTAGCTTCCTCGCTTTTACCGTATAATAACTTTTAATTACCAGCTATTTTACGGCCTCATATTAACTCCGCCTTTTTATAAGTTCCCTGAACCAATAAGGTATTGTAAACGTACCTGTAGAGCTGAACAGTATTCCCGAATTTTAGATTTATTTAATAAAATACTGGAAATGGAACTATGTGGTTCTATTACGCCGAGCCGCCACCACACGCACCGTCCCACTGAAAATCAAACGACGCCTGTTCACCAGCTCAACCAACCAGCTTGGAACAAGTGGGCGGGGAAAACTCTGGGAGGGCTTGGTGAGAAATATCACCACTCGCTGAATGGGCGGGGTTGTAAGCAAGAGAATACACATTACAGGGTTCGGTGAAGGTGGTAGGATCTGAAACCAGATTGAAACGCACCGTGAAGCTGGTTAAAAACAGAAGGAAGCTGATGATTTGATAAAGAAAGCAGCCTTTGGAGTACCTTTGTAGAGACTGCAAAATCCACATAGAAAAGGGTCCGTGTATGTTTTGGTCATTGGATTTTCCTTTCAGAAACGGGTATTAAAAAACAGAAAACGAGTGGTTATTTGATTTTCGTTTTAAAATACAAAAATTAAAATTGAAATACAAGGCGTTTTTCTTTTTCATGGTCAAAAAGGGATGAGCGAAATATAAAAAACGATTCGATTTTCAATTTCTATTTCATATAACAAAAAATAAAATCACTAGAAAACAGAAACGGAGAAAAGGCCTGTTTTTTCATATTCTGAGACCGGATGTTGTCATTTACAGGACGGTGCTGTGGAGAAGAAACAGTAGGCTAGTAGACTGCGGTCAATCCAGCCGTGAGTTCGATCTCCGTGGTCAAATCAGCCGCACTTAAATTTAGTGTACAAGTATTCTCAGCATTATGGTAAATGCGGAGAAACAGCGTATTTACTTCCGGTTTTCAAAATAAAGGTATTAAGAACAGTAAGCTATCATTCGAACCTACATTTAAAATAAAATATGTTACATTAAAGTGTTTCATGCGCCTCTGATGGATAAAAAACACGTTATATCAAGTATCTTTACTGCACCAGTGCTCAGTATTTCCAGGCTATGGGTGAAGCATTTTCATTATAACGTTACTTCAATAATGATGCAGTAATCATGACAAAAATCGTCTTATTTTGCAGCTCTACAGCTGTCACACTGAATCTGTAAAAGGGAAAAATAATTAGTTTTAACTTCAAAACACCATTGTACCTACTGTCTCTTCCTCATATATTATTTTTCCCTTTTACAGATTCAGTGTGGCAGCTGTTGCAGGTGGTTCCACATACAGTGCCTACAAATGGACACAGCAGAGCTGCAAAATAAGAAGCATGTGGACTGGAATTGCATTTTGTGTGAAAAGTAAACAAATTAGAATTGTGTAGGATTTTGTGTTTAGTGTTTATATTATCAAGATGTTATTAAACATTTGTGTGAAATTTTGTCATGATTACTGTATCATTATTGAAGTATAATGAAAATGCTTCACCCATAGCCTGGAAATATTGAGCAATATGTTTTTACAGTTACTCAAATATATGAAAATACCACATGGAGGTACAAATATGGACGACTTTTATTGTTGAATTTCTCCAAATTGGTACAGTAAAAATGCTTGATATTAAGTATGCTTGTAGTCTCATATGTGTAATAGTCAAATATACCATCCATAGCCAGGAAACACTGAGCAATATGTTTTTACAGTACCTCAAATATGGTCAAATATGCAATCTCTGGAGGCATAAATATGAGGCTTTTATTTTGGCATTTCTCCACACTGGTGCAGTAAAGATACTTGATATAAAGTGTTTTTTATTCATCAGGGGCACAACACTGTAACATATTTGAATTATAGTTTACGGCTCTAAATACCTTTATTTTGAAAACCGGAAGTAAATACGGCTTTTCTCCGCATTTACCATAATGCTGAGAATACTTGTACACTCGAAATTTAAGTGCGGCTGATTTGACCACGGAGATCGGACTCACGGCTGGATTGACCGCAGTCTACTAGTCTACTGTTTCTTCTACACAGCACCGTCCTGTAAATGACAACATTCGGTCTCAGAATATGAAAAAACAGGCCTTTTTTCCGTTTCTGTTTTCTAGTGATTTTATTTTTTGTTATATGAAATAGAAAATGAAAATCGAATCATTTTTTTAATTTCGTTCATCCCTTTTTGACCATGAAAAAGAAAAACACCTTGTATTTCAATTTAAATTTTTGTATTTTAAAACGAAAATCAAATAACCACTCGTTTTCTGTTTTTTAATACCCGTTTCTGAAAGGAAAATCCAATGACCAAAACATACACGGACCGAAAAGGTCTGGCACCAGGTCTTCTTGATTATACGGGGTGTAAGAAAACTTAAAAAAAATACACATTAGGCCTGTATCTCAGTATTTCGTTAAATACTATATACATAATATATGTATAAATAAATATATAATACAGAATTAAGAACTGTATAAAAAAGGTACAGATCATCTGACAGATAACAAATAACCTGTAACACCAGGAGTATTTTATTGTGTTTTATTCAGTGTCCATGATCTGAACAGATTCGTCGACCACATCCAGAGAAAGTGGAGTTATAGTTTTGGTCAGGATGGCCGTGGTGCCAGGCTTATACCTGTATTGTCCCTCTCTGAAAAAAAGACAGACAAGGAGAAGAAAAAATCTGTGTTATGGTTCTCTGCCAAAACCTCAGGCCATAAATGTACTTTTTATGCAGTTCTAAGCTGTATTTTTATGATACAATTTTCAGATCTTCTTTTTTTTTTTGTCATTTTTAACTAGGGAACTGCTTTATCTGTGGACTATTGGGCTTCCGGTAGAAACCTCTTGAAGGATTAATACTGAAGGCAGGCTGACTGCAACTCCCATGATCCCACGCTCCCACGCTACTTCACAACATCATCAAACTTCCATCTTTTGACATTGTTTTGGTGTGAGCGACCCCCTAGCAGCAGAAACAAACTGTGATGCACAGATCTTTGCATCTCTTTTGAAGGGAGTGGAGTCTCAGACTAATAATATAGAGCTGGAATTCAGCATAATAGGTCACCTTTTTAAGAGAAAGGAACTGGAAGACAAACGACTCTGATAAAAGGTACACATATAATGGCTCACCTTTTTCCCTTCATCGTGGGCTTGTCGTAGCCTCGCAGGTACTCCACCCCAGCTTCAGTGATAACACACAAGTCCACGTTGCTTCCTGAACCCAGGTCACAGAAAATCCCTGCAGCAATGGCGTCATTTACGAGCTGCTTTGCCTCCTCCAGCTGAAAGGAGGAACAAGCGATTCTTATGTACAGTTTCATTTTCAGGGTCAGAAAGGCTGTTGGTTGTACTGCAATTCAGCCTTTTACCTCTTGAAATCCAACAAAAGCACTTACCATCCACATTTACTCATGTCTTACATTCCAAGCAAGCTATACACTGCCAGTGAGGTATTGCAACCTTAATACAGTGTAACAAACTGACTATATATAGATGGAGAAAACAATGTGGGTTTTTTTACACATATTAGATTAGAGTAAACTTTTTTGTCCCTGAGGAGAAATTTGGGTTGGCCTAAAGTGCTATAATATATTACATTTTTTTTTTTTTTAAAACAGGCGACGCAGTGTGGACGTTATCTAAGTGGTACTGTGCTAACACCAATCAGTACTACTGTTAAACCTAAATACTTAAAAAACTCAATCAGACTATCTTGCTCTTGATTCTAATTTTGGTGCTAATACATTTAAGATTTGTATTATAATTTGAGAGACTGATCTTGGCACACCTCAGACCTTTAGTGTGCCCATCACAAGACCCCCTGCAGTTCGCATATCAGCCCCATGTGGGAGTTGATGATTCGGCAATCTCTCCACACAGTCCAGATCTAAGTTGCAGTGCCTGGTACAGACTGCCATGAAGGTGATGGGGAGGACTGAAAAGCTCTCTTCAGTCCATCTATGAGCAGTCTGTACTCAGGCAGGCACAGAGGGTATTGTTGGACCCGTCCCACATCCTTCAAACAGAATACGAGCTCTAGCCTTCTGGCAGAAGGTACAGAATCCCAAAATGCAAACTGAACCGTTTTAAATACTCTTTCGTATCCACCTCCATCAAAATTTTAAATAGATCTGTATGCTGGGGCCTGGAAAGTGTGCAATAACTTGGTGTTTTGTTTGTTTTGTTTTTTATTTGCTTTAATCTTTCATTGGATGTGTCATGAGTGTGTATGTAGCCTATGTGTACGTCTTTAGCTGTTATATGTATTTTATTTGTATTTATTGTCTGTAAGGGCAGCTACTACTATGCACTAAGCACTTTGAGTCCATGACAAATTTCCCCTAGGGGACAAAGTATATTCTAATTCTATTGTGGGGTGTCTGGGAGGGCAGAGGGGAGGCTGAGTACAGGGACCTGGTTGATCACTTTGTGAAGTGATGTGGGGAGAACCACCTGCAGCTGAACGTGGCAAAGACAAAGAAGATGGTGGTGGACTTCAGGAGGAACAAGCCCCTCCCCTCTCCTGTCCTGTCAACATCGGTGGGACAGATGTGGATATGGTGTCGGCGTATAAGTATTTGAGTGTCACACTGGACAACAAACTGGACTGGTCAGCTAACTCAGATTCCATCTACAAGAAGGGCCTGAGCCGGCTTTACTTCCTGAGGAGGCTCAGGACCTTCAATGTCTGCAACAGGATGTTGCAGATGTTTTATCAGTCTGTTGTGGCGAGCACCATCTTCTTTGCTGCGGTGTCCTGGGTTGCGGGAAAAGACGCCAACAGACTGAACGAACTCATTAAGAAGGCCGAGTCTGTTGTTGGCTCTAAGCTTGTCATCCTGGAGGAGGTGGTGGAGGAGAGGATGCTGGCAAAACTGCTGGCAATCATGGACAATCCCTCCCACCCCCTCCACACAACACTGGACAAGCTAAAGGGCAGCTTCAGCAACAGACTCATTCATCCCCGCTGCTCTAAGGAACGATATAGAAAATCGTTCCTCCCCATTGCAATAAGGCTTTCTAATAATAATTGACTCTTAATCAGCTGCTATAACATTATAATTTCCCTTCGGGGATAAATAAAATAAAGTATTTCTATCTATCTATCTATCCATCTATCTATCTATCTATCTATCTATCTATCTATCTATCTATCTATCTATCTATCTCTAGTCACCTATAGATAATGTTTAATGACAACAAACCCTGCAAATATGTTGGGGTTCTCTTTTCTTTTGGGTTTCTGCCTTCTTGTCTTGTTTTTGTATTATGGTTGGTATTTATACATTGTGAAGTCATTTGCAGTGGACCCCATTCTCTATTCTTTATGTAATTTTATGTAATTTTTATCCTATTACACATAAAAGAAAAAGCAGACAGTTAGTCTCACCTCCATGTTTGGTTTGAATCTGTCCTCAAATATAGAGACAGCAGCTGCAGCTCCAGAGCCTAAAACCAGAATCAAACATTAGGATTTGCTTTAATTTTGCTTACTCAGTTTTTTTATATTTTGTCTGATGTTATGGTTGAAATAACAAATGAATGTGAATGTGAAACACCCGTCCAACTTAGTCACACACACGGATCTACACAGTACATTAAGCACATAAGCACGACGTACCCATGGTGAGGAAAGGCAGTTTGTCATAGGAGCCGTGTGGGTAAACACTGAACAGGTGAGCTCCAGTCACATCAACTCCTCCAACAATCAGAGATGAACCGACGTGACCCTGGTACCTGAACAACCAGACAGACAAAACTTGTTGCATTTTCTCTTTCAGTGGGAGGTATAAGGAACAAGTCTGCCTGGACACATGTGGATGTCAATGAACATAGAAACTCAAGAAAACAAAAGACAGAAGAGTTTATGATTATACAAGAAACAGAAACTGAAAAATGCTTAATATATGACCATAAGTGATTTGAATTTTGTATCCTTTATATTTACATTACCCTTTACCTGAACAGCATCTGTTTCAGCTGCCGGGTTACCATGGCAACAAGGGGGGGTCGCCCAGTGTTGAGTGTGTGCAGCTCCACGTTGGATGCCATTATCTGTGTGGTGATCTCTGCGTCTGCAGCCACGCCAGCCCCACAGCAGCTAGAGAACATAGAGGTCATAGTTCATTTTTCCCAATATATGGTCAAATTAGATCACCGTTATCTTGATAACAATGAACTGTTATACAGCCTTTACTGTCTCATTAGGCTGTAAAATGTAATTAAATAAAAGCTCTAAAAGCCTTTATAATCTTTTACATAAAAATGCAGTTACATGTTTTACATACTAATCCTAACCCACTAAATGATCAAATACACTTTTTTAAACATTTGTTTTACTATCATATGCTTAAAGGTCCAGGTCTAGGATTAAGTGGCATCTAATGGCATATAGTGGCAGATCACAACTACCTTGCTTCACCAATTGGGGTAGCTGTGGAAGTAGAGCGGATTGTCCAGTAATCAGAAGGTTGGCAATTTGATCCCTGGCTCCTCCCACTGCATGTTGAAAGATGCTTCTTGTCCAAAGGGACTTTCATTTTTCTCTTACATATAAACGCATACTGGGATAAATTTGGGGTTCAGGGTCTTGCTCAAGGCCACCTAAATACAAGCCCAGGACAAGCTGGGGATTGAATCCCAGATTCAAGTAATGGCCAACCTATTGTAATAGTCCAGTTAAAGTGGGGTTAAATTGAAACTTTCCAGGAGTACAGTAAAAAATTGGCAACAAATGTTATTCTATGTAATCTAGGAGTTTAAAGTAAAGAAAGAATTCTAAATTGTTTTTAATTACTTTAAACTAAAATTTCACACACCCCTTGAACCAATCTTTAAAAAACAAATTGAAATACATTTCATTTCCAGAGTTATACTGGGAATATGAGTGAGGACACAGCCAGGGGTTGTCCTGTTGTGGACCTTTAGTTTTACTCACTAGATATTTGGAGCGATGTAATGAATCTTCATGCAGTTTTTGTCAGCCACCACCATGTCGTCTGTTGCCCTGGTGTCTGCCCCAAGGATCACGCCATCCTGACAGACAAATACAGGAAATACTCACCATATCTGACTGATGTCAAGCGTTTACTTCCTAAACACTAAAACAGAGTCCTAACAGCATATCTTAATAAAAGGAGTAAGTTAACATAACTTAATCCTCCAAAAAATGTATAACACCCATTACCAATTAAAACTAATTCAAAATATATTGTTGGAGTAAAAACTCAAGAAAAGTTGTTTTGAGTGCACCTAAATTGTGCATTATTTAAAGTATTTGTGTTCTAATTCCAGTGTGTTCAATTGACTTGTTTAAGTTAACTTTATATAATTTCAAAAATGCAAGCCCCAATGACCATGGTCAGTCAATGCTGTGTATCTTCAGATTTTTCAATTTTTGTTTTAATTTCAGTTTGTAAATCAACATATTCCCAAGTATACATCCATACCCCGAAGTGTAAAGATTTAAAGTTACATTAAAAAACAAGCACGCTGCTTAAGTACAGCAGTAACAATTAATTAATTGGCAACCATTTCAATAAACGATTAATTGTAATTGTAACAGCTGTTTTGACAGGTTATGTAATACCTGTCAAAATGTCCTTTATTGGAAGAAAATTTGGTATTCAACTTAAATGTTGACATTTGTATAAAGAATGTGCAATTATTCCATCAAATTCTGTTAACACATCTTAAATTCTTGTTACATCTGCCCCTGGGACATCAGCTCCAGCCACTCTCTCTCTGTACCTCTCCCCGTGATTTTGTGATTGTGTGTAGGTGCACCAGAGTCAGGACAGAACCTCAAGCTACAACTCAACTCTGCTCAGCCATCTCCATATTGCCAGATTGTAGATTCTGCTTAAAGTAAATTACAGTTTGTTTTTGCTTTTGGTACCTTGTGTCGGCTTCCCCCTACTTTGTTTGGATAATCAGCAACTAATCAGCTTGAATATTTCTGGACTCTGGATCAGCACACTCGGACTCCTTCTACCCAACTAAGCTCCCAACGTTCTGCTTCAGTTCCTTATTCCAGACAGAGTGTTTCTTTAACCACCTGGTTTCTTTCAGTCTGTTTTTGTATCTCAGTGAAAATGCTGAAGGCAAATCCTCACCTTGTAAACAATGCCAGCGATCGTGGTCCCTGTCTTTCTGGCAATGGGGGCTTTGTAGCCAAGTTCTGACAAACTGGACTCCAACACTACATTCCTGGAAAGAAGGAAGGAAGGAAGGAAGGAAGGAAGGAAGACCGATAATGTTTTTCAAAAACAGCAGTTAAATAGTTATGCTTCAGTTGAAAAATTCCAATCCGTATTCAAACTCAATCATATAGGTATGACATATATTGTGATTTTCTGAATTATATATAATTTATATAATCAAGTGATTAATGTATTGTCTTTGGTAAAAAATAAATGCATTATATTTTATGAGATTATCATATTTTGGATGGACATACAGACATACATACACATTTTACTCTGCAGTGCACTGGGAGAAATGTATACTAATTACATGTGTACAAAAACATTTTAAGTCTGCTTTTAAGAGACAAAATTCCTGCTTTATCTGTATATTTGTTTATAAATCAAGTTGCCTTCGTTGATCTAGTCATACCTTTTATCATTTATCACAGAAATGTGCTTTGTTGAAAGTAAGTATTTTCTACATGGATCTCGCCTTTCAACTGAATGCCTGCTGTTGACAATGCACTAAGCATCAACAGGTAAAAAGTTACAAAAACTGAGTTGATTTGATAAAAATACTTAATACTTTTACTTCAATATTTTTCAACACCAGTAGATTTAGATAATTGAGTAAGATTTTAGAAATGCAACAGTACTTCAGCTTGAGTACAGATTCACAGTACTTCCACCACTGCTGCAGAATGTATCCAGACATGAAGTAAAGGGTTGGAATCAGACCTGGGCCACTGCAGTAAGGACTTGTACATGGGGTGCACGCCCAACCAGGTGAGTTACCAGGGAACCCCAAAGAATACTTAACTGAAATATTCTTTCAACTTTTGCTCTGGTTCAGTCAGAGAAACTGAGGGGAAATGCCACAAAGTTATTTCAAAAGCCTAAAAGATTTGGGGCTTTTGAGAAAACATTTGGGGCTGGAGCCCAATAAGCCACTGCTCTTGCACTTTAGGCAGTTATAGCTACCACTGTGGTAACCAGGGTTTTTTTCTGGAACCTTAGGGCCTTTATTTGACATGTAACTTGATTGTTATATATATATATATATATATATATATATAAATATTTCTTATACTGAATATATTTAAATTTGAAAAATGTAAGCCCATTAAATTAATGAAGAAGTATGTATATATATATATATACATACATATTGCAGCGACCCTGCAGCAATGTTCTGTTATAATGTCAAAAGTTCTGTGAGTTAATGACATGTTTGGGATTGAATGAGTAGGTAGGGGGGCGGGGTGCGAGTGTGAAGGGGATGAGGGCTGTGCGAGTGCGCGCGTGTGTGAGCGAGTTGAGGTGAACGCGAAGGCACAGTTGGAGTTACGGCTAACTTTATGTTCTTGGTTGTCTTGGCGTGGTTACGGCCGACAGTAACCTGTACTGTTACAGCAATAAAAGGTGGTTTGCTGAATAACACAAGCGTCCGGTATACTCAGACTCGACGCAGACACTAATTGCAGTCTTCTCCTGAACAGAGGTGTCGCTAGTGAGGCTACCGACGTTGCTCTCTCTACGCACTAGAAGAAGAAAAAGTTTTTTTGTTTTTCTTTCCAAATCGGTCGCGGAGGTTGTTCCAAATATTCCAGCATATGTCCTCCTCAATTCCAACATTCATGGCGCCATGAATTCCGGCGTCTCTGTGCTCCTTTATTGAAGGATCGTACAGATCGTCCAGCTTCCTGTTTCCGGTTTGTCGCGCGCAGCTGAAAAAAAAAAGTGGTGCGCGACACGGCGCGACCGGGCCAAAATCCTGGCGCGCCAGCGAGATCTACGTCATTTTGACGTCACGTTGTCGCGCGACAGCTCGAGTGCGTCGAGTATACTGGGCGCTTTAAAATTTGGAAGAACCTCCGCGACCGATTTGGAAAGAAAAAAAAATAACCAAAAAACTTTTTCTTCTTCTAGTGCGTAGAAATAGCAAACTCGGTAGCCTTTCCTCACTAGCGACACCTCTGTTCAGGAGAAGACTGCTACTAGTGCCGCGACCACCACGCGCAAGTATAGATAGTCACGGTGCTCCCGTGACGTCACGTTGTCACGCGACAGTTGGTCTGCGTCGAGTATACCGGACGCTTTTAGTCATCTTATCAACAAGTCCTGCCGGACGCTACAATATTAAGTGTTTCACCAACAAAATAATTTTGGCTTCATATCAACATTTAGATCTCCTTGTTCGAAAATCAAATTACAATCACAGTCAATGTCATTCAAAGTATAGCTGTCTGGGACTTGGACGTGGATGATTTCAGTATTTCTAAACTCCATGTTACAGCCCTATATGAACTTAACCGTGTTGGTCTCTGTGCCACAAAGACTTACTTAAAGTACCTTAAGCAACAACACAAGAATGCCATGGTGACATTAAGGTTACTACAGGAGACAAAGAATGATAACAAAACTTATAAATTCACTATAGATCAAGACAGAAAAAGACACACTATAGTATACACCTAATATAGTATTTCCTCCTGAGCACCATTTTAGGCTCAGTAAAAATCGATAGAGTGCTTCTTTACCTGCGACTGTTTTCAAAGCAGAAACCTCCAGTCTGCAGCTCACAGTGCTCCAAACTGTAATACATCTTAACTGTGAAGACAGAGGAGATGAGAAATAAAGTTGATAGCTGATTCTGAATCGAAGATAAAAAGCGTCAGTCTGTGTGTCAGCGCTTTTTACAGGTTGCTTTTGCTTTCGTTTCTTCAGCACAGGCCAAACCTTCCTGCTCTACACTGTAAAAAATATCTACATTGACCAGACATTTATTCTGATATGAGTGTTAAAGGGTGATTTTTCACCAAAAAGCCGACAGGTCAGAGGAGTTAACAAATCCCCATTTTCCCCTAGATTAGTTCATTTTAATACTTTCTTTCTGAAGCGAGACTCAAAGATGATTTTGAATAAAAGAGGTATCTACACCTGTAGTAAATAAAAAAAACAACCCTCCATGTGGCATCATTAATGGAATTAGCTGATTTGTATGAGAGAAAACAAACTGCCATTATAATAATAATAATAATAATAATAAATTTGATTTATAAGCGCTTTTCTAAATACTCACATTATGTTACGAAAATAAACTATTATAAGACTCATGAGCCACTAAAATTTACTGATACTGAAATTTCTTGCAGTGTATTCAAATTTGACAGTGTTAAGATGGAAGCTGATTCATGGATGCCTAAAATGTCGAGTAAGGTGCCACAAAACAAACAAACTTTATGTTAACAATCTAGTTTCACTTTTCTCCTTGCTTTTTAAAATTAAGTCCAACCCTAACGTAAGCAAATTTGTATTTTAAAGACACCAGATTACAATTATATCACACATACTGTCACATTTTGTTTCTTGGTGTTGTTGAAAATCAAATTAGACACTAAATCCACTAAACACTAACACACTAAAACCAGTCAACACATGATAACACTGCATTATGTAATAACCAAGCACCCACATTTTGTAACAATATGCCACAAACAGCACAAACAAAATGTGTAATTTATTTTGTAATAAATAATTAAATATAGTGGCGGTTATAACAAAACTGTAAGAGTTTAACTTTTTATGATGAAAAGGTAATAGGTCACAATCAGCTCATCAGCAGTCACTTCAAGAACCCCAGCTCAGCAGCCATTCATTGCCACATTGTTCTGTCAATGTGTCAGTAGAGTAGTGGCCAGACTACTTTGTAGATTATTTCTAGTGAGCTTTTTGTGAACTTTTTCCCATGCTCCTTCTAACCTGTTTTTTTTCTTGTGCTAACACCTCTGCTCTGCCATAACCCACATGTCAATCCAGTTAAGACCTCAGCCATTCTCCACTCTCTTCAGCGTGACTGCCCCAGCCTTTTTCAACCTCCATTACCTTCATCCATCCTCCAGATGTTTTTCAATAAATCCTTTCCAAACTATTTCCCCTGACTCAGTGTTTGCCTTCAGGTCTACTAAAATAAATGTAACATTCATGCTTTTATTTCTATCAGGATTGACTTCTGCAATGGTCTTGGGCTCTTCCTAAAGACCATCAAAAAGCTTCAGCTTATTCAAAATTCAGTTCATAAAGAAATGGGCAACTCACACATTTTCTAATAGCCACCACAATATAAAATTGTTTATTATAAAATGTGGAGAAATATATTACATATTTGGTTCAGGTTGTCATTATATAATTAAGTGAAAATGTATTACATTTTGTCAAGTCATTACATAATATTTGTTACAGGGCCTCCTACAAACCCACAGACTGTAGCTTTAGCCTGTTTTTTCTTTTTTTTTTTAAAAATCAAATAGCCAAAATAATTGTGTGTGTGTGCGAAATATGAACCAATGAATGCAGAGGAACATACTATGCACCAATTGCACCAGGACACATTCCTCGTAGGTGTAAAAACCTACTTAACAATAAACATAATTCTGATTCTGATATCTCCATGTAGCCTGGTGGCGAGGACGGTCTAGAGGAGGACAAAAACATTAATGTCAACCCAGTAGCAGCAGCCACACCTTGTTTAGCTGTCCCACCTCAGACAAACACACAAGAGGACTTAATGATCGGCAGGACACTGAGGCAGAAGAGAACAACAGCCCTGTGACAACAAACTGTTCAACTGCCTCACCCTCTCCATCTCAATTTGAGTCCTACACCACGAGGAGTGGGTGGGTGGATGGCAGAGATCCAGTGGCAGGTAGACTAACGCTACTAGTTTAGCAGTTTATCTCTTTTACCTATCTATTTCAACCATTCTTTTAGATAACTATTTCAAAAATTCAGGTCAGGCCAGGAATAGGCCTAAGTGATTAAGGGGGCTGTGTTTTCATAAATTAAAATTCATTGATTTAGCGACACCATACCATAAGTATGTCCACTAAAAGTGCCTGTGTATGCCACTGACAGGCTCATTGTTATTATAAATGTAAACAATATAATGGAAAGGATCCTTATTCGGAACTTTAATTGTATATTATTCACACATTGATGTAGTCCTCAATGTGTGAATATGTGATTTTAATTTGAGGTGTATAGGTTACTCTTGTTTCCAAGGTGTTGTGTTGATACAATGATAAGTAGTTGACATTGGTTGTTTTTGGAAAACATTAGGTTTTTGTATTGCATAAAATCCTGTATCATAGGAAATACAGGTTACATTTGCTGTAGGTCTGCCTATGCAAAGCAGTACGAACTGATTACTGAATCATGGAACTGTATTAGTGGAGGTGGGGCAGTGCGTAATCTGTATGCACTGATATTGTTGCGAACCTGGAAATGTTGTGCACCCCAAAGTTTGAAATGTACGTCTAGAAGTGTTTAATTTAATAGTGTATAATTCTGCTAATACATTGGAACGGGATTTTACAATGAAGAGAGCTCAATGTCATTGGTGTGAATGTTGACGTAAAATTTCTTCGAATTTCTTCAGTTTCTCTTGCGTTTTTTTCTGCACAGTTTCAGTCAATTTAGAAGTTTTAGAAGATGCTGAATTGATTGGATTGGACAGAAAATGTGTAGTGATATTTACTTAGAAAAACCTAGGTAACAATCTCCACACAGAAATTCGAAATTTCACAGAGGATATTTCAAGTGACCTTTTACTTATGTTTAAGAATAGTCTCTATTACAACTTCTCAAGTAAACTTTACTAGCTATTTTCTGTCTTTGTCATTACATTTTACTGAGTCACCGAATTTTAAAAAGTTAGGAGACAGTGGCATGATGATGTATTTACCAAAATGATATTTGGAGTGCAAACGGTTAACTTCCATTAACCAAGTACACTTGCTTTTGTCAGGTTATACAGTCAATACATTACTTTAGATTAGATAGATATTTTATTCATCCCGAAGGGGAAGTTCACAGTTTCCAGCAGTATCCACGGACTGATAATAATAACAATAACAATAATAACAACAACAACAGGAGGCAAAATGCATAAGAACCAATAAATAAAATAAAATAAAATAAAACAAATAGCAAAATAACGAGCATTGGGTAAGTGTCCTAAGGTGCATGGTCATATCCAGTGCTTTAAAGGTTGTAAAGTTTGATACAGGACAGACATATTGGAGGACAGAGTTTTTCGGTTTTCCTCCCCTGGGTGGAGTTGAAGAGCCTCATGGCGTGGCGGAGGAATGATCTCCTTAGTCTTTCAGTGGAGCAGGACAGTGACAGCAGCCTGTCGCTGAAGCTGCTCCTCTGCCTGTAGATGGTGCTGTGCAGTGGATTAATATAATATAATATGTAATGCAATATGTGGGCTGGCTGTGGCTCAGAGGCAGAGCAGGTCGTTCCTTAATCGGAAGGTTGTGGGTTCGATCCCCGGCATCCCTGAGCAAGATGTTGAACCCCAAATTGCTCCTGATGCTGTGCATCAGTGTGTGAGTGTGTATGAATGTTAGTTTCTGTTAGGTGGGCGTTGCCATCACTGAGTGAATGTGGCACATAGTGTAAAAGCGCTTTGAGTGGTCAGAAGACTAGAAAGGTGCTATACAAGTACAGCTTCGTTTACCATTTAATATTTTAAGTAAAAGCACTGAAATAGTAATTCTTTGTAGAATTAAATTATAAAAAAGGTGAAAAGATAAAAGATAATTTGTATCCATGTCAATTTAAATGGTTAGAAATTGTAGGATATTTATGAACACAATTATCCAAATGATGCAGAACATTTAATTCACAGACATAACACTCTAAGGACACTCACTGTTTCCCTGCATATTATTGAATTTCTTCAACTTGCTATTCAGTTTTCGAGCAAGACATGCCTCTATAGGTGCCCTGTGGCTTGGCCCTCAGGGAATAGATTTAGCCACAGTTATCCAGTATTGTCATAGAACATGACGACCCAAATTTACAATGGTTGAGATGGACGAGAGGCCCAGGCAATAACAGGCATACACTACTTATAGAGCCACATCCACCATACAGAGGAAGCCGCAGTCTCCTTGGGGGACAATAGACACGATAAGGGAACAAGATGCCCTGGCGACAGTAAATGCACACTTTGTTTTAACACTTTTTTCCTCCGCATTCTGAAGCCTCACTTGAATACTTTATATTTATCAACAGTGAAACTGACAACTCAATCCAGTTACAAAAGCAGAGCTAAAACCAAAACAAAAACTGTGTTTCTTTAGCATAAAAATATGTTTTGTGACATGAAAAACCAGTCCAGTGAAAAAACTGCAGATAAAACCACTAAAACTTTTTTTATTGTTTTGTTTTTACCAAAAGAAGCTCTTTCATTAGTTTACAGTCTAAATTAACTGAAAACTCAGTCCTGTTAAAAAAAAACCTGTTTTCAGGTAAAAGAAGTTGTTTTGTGACAATACCATCTGAGTAAACTAAAAACCCAGTCAAGTTAAGAAGCTAGAGCTAAAACAACTAAACCTAGGTTTGGTTTGAGTTTCTTGTATAATTTAGCTGAGGGATATAAAATGTACTAAGGATGAGTCCTTGCTGCAGTGGCCAGGCTTTCAACTCCGACCTGTGTTGCTCTGCTGCGTGGCATGTCCAGTCTCTTCACACTTTTCCTCTCCATCTCTCAAGCTGTCTTGTCTGACAAAGGGAAAAATCAGTCTTTTTCAGTGAAATATGCACTTTTCAAAATAAATTAAAAAAGCTAATTGCAAACAGTCTCATCTTGGAACACAAGACTGCACCGGGAACAGATTCAATGAACACAAATTGTGTAGCCCCTGTACAAAAGTATGAAAAGGTTTTAACATTTTTATTTTTGTACATTATTGTTCTCTAATGTGACATTTTAGTTGCATAACAGCTGCTGTTAAATGCCAAAACACGTCAAATTTGACCTGAACAGTATGTGAAAGAACAACGGCAGGAGTGAAATACTCCTACATCCAGTTCATACCTTCAAACCTTCAAGCCTCCTATTTGGTTTACTGTTAAATCCATGCTCATTGATGGTTTGTTACATGGATTCTGATTTGTTGATTGTTACATGCATCCTGATTGGTTGATTGTTGAATCCATCCTGATTGTTAAATACTTCCTGATTTGCTGAATGTTAAAAGCCTCCTCATTGGCTGTTTGTTATATAGATGCTAATTGGCTGAATGTTAAATCTGTCGTGATTGGCAGATTGTTACATACTTCCTAATTTGCTTATTGTAACATGCATACCGATTGGCTGATTATTACATGCATCTTGATTGGTTGATTATTACATTCATCCAGATTGACTTAATCTTAAATCCATCGTCATTGGCTTTTATTTACATGATACTGCACTGTAAAACCTAACAGTAAAAGCTTGTTAAAGAAAATGGGTTATGTTACCTCAAAATTTAAAAAAAGCTATTTCACCACTAATTTTCTGAGTTATTAGTACTGATTTGTAATTTAAAGTATACAGTGATCATCCACTTTAAATCATTTTAGTCATTGTGCTCAAATAATTTGACGGTAATCCCTGTGTCTGACGTCTGACATCACGCACGTGCGTACGTGCTTCTTCACTAAGGCCGTGGAAAAGTCCGCCATGTTTGCTGCTTGCATTGGATGAGAAACTTGTAATTTGTAAACAAGTTAGTTAACTAGATACATTTTGAAGTGAAAGCAGAAAAGGAGATATTTTTTCTTGATAAATTCGCCGTGGGACAGCGAGTGAAGATATTTTAGGTGAAACGTTCTGTGACATGCAGCATTTCTCTCAACCTGCTCAGCTCACTTTCTCTGCTGTGCTGCTGACCACTCTGACCATATTGATGTTGTCAATGAGTGCGCTAATCTGGTGAGTAACCTATTGATTTAACGTTAGCACCATATTTACCAGCTGCAACAGCGACGGCTGGTATTGTTTAATGTTTATTATTTGCTGCATTAAATACATTTATCTTCATGCATTTGAAAAGTGAATGTGATATGAGCTAGCTTAATTTGTTATACTGCTTCATTACACATGAAAAGCGATTAAAAAGTGGAAGCCAGTGTAGTAAACGTTAACGTCATATTATTTTTCATCTTAAAGTGGAAAGTTTGTGTGTGTTGAACTTCTCTAGTAAATATAAAACAAAAAGGCGGTCCGCGACCGCGTTCATCGGCATGCATGTTTGAGTAATGTTAGTAGTTTGCATAACGACGCTGAAGTTGAATCCGTGTATCATTCGTTCTTTTCATATTCAATTGAGATTCCAAAACCGGAAAATGAAAAAACGGTTTGTTATTTCCTTAATTGTTTATGAATCTGATACCAAAAAACAAATAACGGTTTATTTTTTGTACTTTCGATTTATTGCTCAGATCAAACATAGGAAATTAAATAACGGGCCACGGATCGATTTCGATTTTGATATTTAATGTTTTCGCTTTGTGTGAACCGGAAGTTATTGTCTTCTTCGTGTGTTGCACTTGGAAGTTTGCAGCAGTTTCGCAAACCCTGAAAAAAGTCAATCCTGCAGTGATTGTACTCTGTATTTAAGGACTTATTGTACTCTGTATTTAAGGACTTATTGTACTCTGTATTTAAGGACTTATTAAGGACTTATTAAGGACTTATTTGAAACTGGCAAGACACATGTAGAGATTTCTACTCGGCTGCAGCAGATGGAGATCCAGTGATGTTCTGACAGTCACCGTTTAGTTCCTCTGAACAATCACAATCAGACACTTTAATAATCCCAGGGGGAATTACTTTCGTTACATGCTCCATATGAATTAGACATAAATATATTAAGAATATACATATAATATAATATAAAGTCACACAGTGTAAAGTGGTCGCAGGCTTCCTCTTCAGCAGAGGCTCATAGCAGATGTTGGGTTTGCAGAGGGATGTACGACAACGATGATGTCGTGCAGGATCTCTCTCGGTAGATGATATGGAGTCCAACGGCAGCTGTTCGCTCCCGGTACAACCCCGGTCCGCCCGGACGGTGTGGAAGCGACAGATACGGTCCGGTCCGTAATGTCCCTGTGCAGCCCTGTCTCAGTGACACACATCAGACTCCCGGTACGGTGCGGGGCTGCGCGTTAATGCCGTCAGTTCGTACATTCCGTTGCTAGGAGACCGCACATCACCATAACAACAGAGGGGAGACTCTGCTTCAATCTTCTCTTTCTCCATAAACCCGTCCCGTCTCCACCCTCCTCTCTTCCCCCCGACGTTACTTCCCTCCTCTTCATCCCCGGTGTGTTTCCTCCAGAGTTCAGCTGGTAGATCAGCTGTTCTGTCCACCGTACCGACCGGCATTAGATCAGCTGTTCTGTCCACCGTACCGACCGGCATTAGATCAGCTGTTCTTTGGAGTAAACAACGGCAGCTGTCCCGGTGGAAGCGACATTAAAACACGAAAATGAACACAAAAACTCTCTCAAACAACCTCGTTAGAGAGGACAGGACTTCAGAGAGTGAAAAAATAAGAACGAACAAAAAGAGAATAAAAGTTAAGAAGTTAGAAAGCAGACTGGAGTAACAGGCAGCATGCAGCTTTTCGCCCACGCGCCAGGAAGATGAAGATGAAGATGAATGAAAAGATGAAACTCTCCATCATTGATCCTCAGTTTTGAAGACTAACGTTAGTTAAACTGAAGAAGTGAATCAAGCTAACGAGACAATAACTTCCGGTTCACACAAAGCGAAAACATTAAATATCAAAATCGAAATCGATCCGTGGCCCGTTATTTCATTTCCTATGTTTGATCTGAGCAATAAATCGAAAGTACAAAAAATGAACCGTTATTTGTTTTTTGGTATCAGATTCATAAACAATTAAGGAAATAACAAACCGTTTTTTCATTTTCCGGTTTTGGAATCTCAATTGAATATGAAAAGAACGAATGATACACGGATTAAGTTGGCTTCCGATTCGCCAGCCTCCGATTCGGCACTTAAGGGGAAAGTTAAGGGGAAATTAACTTATTGTGCAGTGCGACTGTTTGTCCACTGATTGTCTGTTTTTTGTGACACTTCTTGATGTGAAAACGTTTTAGACATTTTAGGTAAGACATCAGCTTTGCCTGACACCTACGATTGTATCTGTGAAACTTTTATTATATTTGTGAAAATGCTAAAGGGAGATTTCACCGTTTTTGTTTTACACCAAGACCTCATTAGACCAGGTCCAGATCAAAAACCACTGCACCTAGACCTCTCAAATCTGGACTGGATTGATGTACAGACCCTGAAGGTTCATAAAAACACAGTCTCTGATTTGTGAAACCTTTATTCTATTTGTGAAAATGCATTAAAGACACATTTCACACTTTTTTCAGCATATAGACCGCATTAGACCAGGTCCAGATCCAAGACCACTGCACCTAGACCTCTCAAATCTGGACTGGATTGATGTACAGACCCTGAAGGTTCATAAAAACACAGTTTCTGATTTGTGAAACCTTTATTCTATTTGTGAAAATGCATTAAAGACACATTTCACACTTTTTTCAGCATATAGACCGCATTAGACCAGGTCCAGATCCAAGACCACTGTACCTAGACCTCTCAAATCTGGACTGGATTGATGTACAGACCCTGTAGATTCATAAAAACACAGTCTCTGATTTGTGAAACCTTTATTCTATTTGTGAAAATGCATTAAAGACACATTTCACACTTTTTTCAGCACAGAGACCACTTTGGACAAGGTCCAGATCCAAAACCACTGCACCTAGAACGCTCAAATCTTTTTACATGGAGAAGTTGTTGAAAAGGCACAGAGTCAGTAAAAAAGTCCGCAATTTTCGTTCTTTTAAGTTTTCATGGCCTCACCTCTGTTTTTGTAACATTGTGTCAAGGTGCCTCTTTGTTTTCTGCTTCTCTGCTTTCCTTTGCAGGTTCCAGGTCGTGGGTCGTCATCTTAATATTTTTAAACTATGGACAATCGGGTAGGGTCAGTATCATGTCTGTAGGTAGGTAGTTGGTCAGGTGATGAGGAAAGGGAGGAACACAAAGAGGACAACTGGTGGCTGGGAGAACAAGAACAGGGTCTGAAATGATGGCAGATGTTAGTAAAGCCAACAAACTATTTTAAAAGGTCTACAGGTCAGACTCAAGATCTTAACCTTGGTACCTGAGGTCCTACGGGGTTAGATACTAGAGACACCAAAATAAATGTATTTAAAATAAAAATAGTTTGTGGTCTATATGCTGAAAAAAGTGTGAAATGTGTCTTTAATGCATTTTCACAAATAGAATAAAGGTTTCACAAATCAGAGACTGTGTTTTTATGAACCTTCAGGGTCTGTACATCAATCCAGTCCAGATTTGAGAGGTCTAGGTGCAGTGGTTTTTGATCTGGACCTGGTCTAATGAGGTCTTGGTGTAAAACAAAAACGGTGAAATCTCCCTTTAGCATTTTCACAAATATAATAAAAGTTTCACAGATACAATCGTAGGTGTCAGGCAAAGCTGATGTCTTACCTAAAATGTCTAAAACGTTTTCACATCAAGAAGTGTCACAAAAAACAGACAATCAGTGGACAAACAGTCGCACTGCACAATAAGTTAATTTCCCCTTAACTTTCCCCTTAAGTGCCGAATCGGAGGCTGGCGAATCGGAAGCCAACTTCAGCGTCGTGTTTGCATAAAGGTCTTAACTTACATTAACCTTAATTTTATGTGATAACATTGTACTGTAGCGTGTGTTCTGCGTTTGTGTGACATAAGGCAAGTTAACTATTAACCTCTTAAGTTATCTCTCTTCTAAACCTGGAGTGTAGTTGCGTTCTGTTTATATATTTTTTTAGTGATATAAGGACTGTTTTTATTGTTGCTATGGATAAGTAAGGACTTTATTCTGTCACAGAGATTAAATGCCAATCAGCCTGTTTAAATGGTTTGAAATTTAATTTAGCAAAGCTTGTATCATGCACAGAGGCATCAGCAAGACATGCATTAGCTGTCTGCTCACTATTGGTCACATTTCTGTGTTGCTCATCACCTTTGAACCTTTCAGTGTGAACGTAAACTCTACAGTATAAAGTAAAAAAAGAAGAGAGTTTTAGGGTGTCTTAGGTTTGTAGTGTGGGATATGAGACAGCACCATATTTCACACAATGCCTCTAATGTTAGGTATGTTTGTGTTAAATGCTTTCCAGATATTTTACATGGTGTTTTTGTGAAAACGTTGCAAGCTGTAGCTAACTTTTCAATCTTCTTTCTCCTTTCTCTTAAGGCTGAAACTGAAGCAACTGGCTGATATACAGAGTCTTCAATCTGGTATGTTGATTTTGAACAATAAGCTTTAAAAGACATTTATTGTACATAGGTACTAAAATGTAAATTAATGTTCAGTGCACAGCATTGACATTGATCTAAAACCTGACTTGTGGGTGGGATTTTGGGGAAATATTCTTTAGTTTTCCAATGGCGTGGAGGTGCAAATTTTGTGCTGCTCCTGTCTTTGATAAAAGGGCACAGTTGCTTGAACACTTTCATTTGCATCATAGCAATATTTCCTCAGTCAGCCCATTGCCTTGTCTCTATGATGACTGTATCTGCACATTTCAGTCAGTAAATGCATTGAAAATTCACTTAACACGGTCACATACTCAGACAGTTGTGCCCAGTGAAAGTCAGATGGGATGTGTGTCATTCATCTGTCCTGTGGGTGGATTCAAGCAACCGTTTAATGATAAAAGTCTTGTCATTTAAGGACACATTTAAAACAACACAAGATGGTGGATTGTCCATTCAAAAATTGTCACTACCGTACTAATGTGTATTCCTCTTTCAATGCCCATAAAAGTAAGAATCATCCTGACTGTGATGTCTCAGATTTTAAGAATGAGATTCTTTTGACCGAAATTGACAGCCAACCAATGCAAAGTCAAGTTGAATCTGATGAGGGTGGTCCCTCACAGAATTCTCCTGAGCTGGATGCTCCTGAGTGTAATCCTAATCCTAGTCTAGAGATGACACTGGTGAATTGCAAGCTCAATTGAGAAACTATTTGGCTGCTTTGTTCTTGAAAATGCACATTGTTCTTCATGTATCAGAGATGGCTATACAGGATATAGTTGAAAACATGGCACAAATATTCTCTTTGTCCAAACCTCTTGTAAGAGACTCTGTGATCAGGGTTTTTCAGGAGCATGAAGATTCTATCAGTGATGTCCTTCTTCATGAAATAGTGGAAGCTATCATGAAAAGTAATGTTTTTGTCAGTGCTACATCAGAAGGTGCAGAGCTGTCAACTGCAAAGCGAAGGAAAACATTTGTGAGGAGTAACTACCCTTTGGTAATGCCAGTGCAATATACTGTAGATTCCAGTGGACACACAGCTGTGTATGTTCCAATACTACAGATTCTTCAAACAATGTTTAAAAATACTGATCTTCTTGACAAGATTCAAGAAGCCAAACCACCTAGGGGTGGGCGATATGGGCGAAAAATAATATCTCGTTATCTTTTGGGATTTTGGCGATAACGATAATCAGTCGATATCCTTTAAATGTGATTGGAATTGTCTGAGTTCGGGCTTGTGTCCACCAAACGTGTTTTTAGCGCTGAGAGCTCAAAAACTCATTTTCCGAGCGCCCAGCGGGGTTAAAGGTTGAACAGATTTCAACTGGAAGCGTTCTGAGCGCTAAAAAACGTCTCTGCTGACATCTTTTTACCGCCAGAGAGGTAGACCCACGTCTCAGCACTAAATCATCTGAAGTACCGGTAGCTTCAGGGACCGGAGGTGTTTGCGTTTTCTCTCTACCATCACAACGCGCTGCTAAACTGTTGCAAGGAGGATGCCAGCGAGAGGTCACGTGATCACATCATGTGATCACGTAGGCCCACTAGTCATGTGACTGAATCCTGCCATGCTGTAGAGAGCGCTGCTGCTCCGTGTATTAATGGATGTGAGTAGTTTACGTGAGCGTTTCAATATTTTTGGCGAAGTAATTTAAATACTCGATAATGGAAATTTGCACATCGTGAAAACAACAATGACGATATTATCGCAAACGATATATATCGCCCACCTCTATCGCCACCTGGAATGTACATGTCCCATGAAGATGGAACATATTTCAAAGAGAATCAGTTATTGTCAGATACAGGAGAGCTGAAATTGTCACTGATTTTGTACGTGGATGACATTGAAATAGCTAATCCTTTAGGCACAGCTAGAAAGATCCACAAGCTTTGTGCAGTATACTGGTTGCTTGCCAATATACCCAGTAAGTATAGGTCGAGCCTGCATGTCATACAGCTAGCTCTGCTATGCAAAGTACCTGATCTGCAGAGTTGTGGTTACCAAAGTGTTATTTCACCCTTTCACACTCTTGAGCGGGATGGCATTTTCATTGAAACTGTTGGTCAGTGTGTCAGAGGCACTGTGTTGTGTGTTGCAGCTGATAATTTGGCTGGCCATGGTCTTGCAGACTTTGTGCAGTGTTTCCGAGCACACTATGTCTGCAGATTCTGTTGCTGTAGTACAGACCAGATACAGGCCAGTGAAGTTTCTGAAGCAGAGTTTAGCATGAGAACAAGGGCCTGCCATGATCTTCATGTGTAGAATGTGCAAGGAGAAAATGCAACTCACTTTGGTGTTACAGGTGAGTGTGCTCTCAGCAAGACATTGCAGCATTTTCATCCCATTACTGGTTTCCCACCTGACATACTTCATGACCTGTTTGAGGGTATTGTGCCAGTTGAGCTGGCCTTGTGCATCTGTGAGATGATTCGTCTTAAGTATTTCACTCATGAATATCTAAACACAAACATTCGCACATGTCCATATCAGCACTTTGATAGGCTTGATAAACCACAACCAATCCCAAAGAATTTTGCAACCAAACTAAGCATTGGTGGGAATGGGCATGAAAATTCCACATTGCTGAGGTTATTACCACTAATGGTATGAAGTAAAGTCCCTGAAGGAGAAGTATGGGCCATATTGATGGCCCTTAAAGAAAATCGTGCAGCTGGTGTTGTGTCCATCTTTCACAGAGGAATCCATCCAGTACATGCAGACTAAAATAAGTGATCACAGACAGGGTCGTCAAGCGGTGTTTCCAGGCTTTAAACTCCGACCCAAGCATCATTATGTTCAGCACTACCCTGACAACAACTGACAAAGCGTTTTGGGCCTCTTGTTCACCTATGGACCATGAGGTTCGAGGGAAAACATCGTTTTTTCAAAAGGGTGATACATAACACACACAATTTCAAGACTGTCTTGAAAACTCTCGCTACCAGGCATCAGCACATGATGGCGTATCACTTCAGTGCGCCATTATTTTTCAGACCCCACACACAAGCCTCGAGTGTCACCTCTGTCCAAGTTGCCACACTGCCTCAAGTGGCAAAAGACTTCATAGAGACAGAGACAGATAGCCAAAACATATACAGTACATCAAAGGTCTCCATAGATGGCACAGAGTATGCAAATGGAATGTTTGTTTCTGCAGGCCAGACTGGAGGACTTCCACAATTCTGCAGGATTGAGCAGATACTGCTTGTGAATAACTCTGTTTCCTTTCTTTGCAGGAAGTACGAGTGCTGGTACAGTGAACATTTAAGGTCATTTGAGCTGAGATCCTTAGACAACGTCTCTGTGCATCAACTGTCGGAGTTAAATGACGCAGTAAGTCTCACAGCATACAATATCGATGGGCATTTAATGCTGACACAAAAAAGATTTATTTTGATCGGAGATTTACAGGATTAAAATGTTTTTATAAGTGGGGTCCTGTACAGTGTCATGGAGCAGTGTGGAGAAAATGAACACTGGTGTAATGTCACAATCAAAATGCCTTTAGTGACACTGCCCTCTATGCCAAGCCTAGATAGATTAACTGAAAATCTACTTGAGGTTAATGATACTTAATCCAAATCAATGATGTTTTTAATTCAAAACTGAAAATTTGCTGGAAATTGCCTGAATTTGTTTTGAACAAATCCTGATTGCGTGTTGCCAAACTGAATGTTCCTCATTAATCCATCTCTCTCTTCTCTTCTTTTTAATAATAGGAAATGGCAGCTCAAAATTTCCTACTTCATGTCCATACCTCCATGGACATTGTCCGGAAGATGACTTTATCTTCACGTCCAGAATCTGTGGATGAGCTAAAAACAATGCTTAAAGAAAGTTTTAATCTAGACTTTGACTTTAGCTTATCATACCAAGTTCCAGACTTTGACGGGCAGTTATGTTCCCTTGTAGACATTGAGGAGCTTCCACAGAAGGCTGTACTAAAAGTTCTACGGTCTGAGAGTGATACCAGTTCAGTAGCATCAGATGACACAATAATATTGCCCCATGCCATGACTCCAGACAGGGCTGAGACATGGCCTGATGTTTTTCCAGTGCCCACTTTTTCCTACGAGGTAGAATTTATACTTGGTGAGGGAAATGTTACATATGAGAGAACAGGGAAAACTGTTAAGTTATCTAGGGGACAAAAGCATGACATCCTTGTGACCCTTGCAGCCAAAATGCATAGCTTCAAAGCATACCCTAATGATAAGGAAGTTTCAGTGATAGCAGAAGCACTTGTCACTAAACATCCTTGTCTAAAAGAGCCAGGATCTCAGACAGGATGGTAGGTTGGAAAAATAGTCTGAAGTTTAAGATGGGTAACTATCGGACTAAGTTGAGTCGGGCAGTATTTCATGAGGTAGCTGTAAATTCTGGGAAGAGGAGTAGAAATAATCCACAAAAACAAGCTCCCCACCCTAACATCAAAAGACCAAAGAGGGCAAAAGTGAATTTCCTCCCTAATTTCCCAAGAGGTGAGGATGGTGCAAGCCTTGAGCGATTGAGACTCCAAATGTTAGATGAAGTTAGGATACGCGACAAAAACCAACTGATTGCAAAGTTGATGCAGACCACCTTTGCCCTGCGGCGCAACAAGGTCATCAATGAAGACCTCCCTGTTGGAGAGATCCTGGAACGCTGGCCTGCCCTTAAAATAGAGTCACAGGTGAAAATATTTTACTTAGTACACCTATTTGAGCAGATGTATAAAATGTAGTCATTTTTGGTGTCTGTCAGTGATAACTTTAAAAGGTTTTCTGAGATTTACATTAAACTTGGCATATGATTTGATAGTGTAAGAATCTGCATGTTTTTACCACAATCTTACACAGTACAAAGTCAGGGTTTTGCCATTACTACTCAATAATGAAAGCATGTTTCATTGCTGTTTATGTCTCTAATTTTCTACAGGGCTACATATACAATACACTCTGACCTAAACAGTCATTTTATGTTTGTGCAGATTTGTGCCGAGTTTCACAGAATCACAAACATCCACCTAAAGAACCACTTCTATGCGGAGTTGGACCGACATGCCCCGTCTTCAGAGTTTGTTCAGGAAGAAATCTGCACGTGCAGGGAAAGTAGCCGAAGTTCTGGATCAGCTCTTTAACACTTATGACCTCCAGGTGGGTTGGGTCTGCTTCTTGGTACCCCAGATTGAATAAGCTATATCCAAAAGATGCTGAAAGAGTGACTTGTCAGAAGACAAATAATTAATCACATTCCATAAATGTAATTTCTGAACAGTAAAACATTATTATTAAACTTTATAATCTTCATGAAGGTATGATTTGTAAAAGGACTGTATTAGCTAGGTGTACCTAATAAACTGGCAATTGAATATATACAGTATATTAAAAGTATCATCTCACTACACTGAAAATACATATGGGGTACACTAGAGTTTATTTTCTACTTAACACCGATACTACACTTGACAATGAAAGTTCTCCCTTAAGTGTGTATTTCAGTGTATTTTTGTTTATCTTTTTTAGCACCCTAATCTCTTCTTGTGATATATCGTATTGTGTGCCTATGCTGTTTAGCATCCAAAGTGAAGTAATAATATGTTCTCACACTCAAGGAACAAGTTGATGTCCATGTCAGACGTGCTGCTGTCCTCCGTGCTCTCCCTGCATATCTGCATGAGGATGACTCTGGGTTTCAGAGAAGCAATGGGATGTAAGTCAGCTTATTAATTGTTTAGAATTTATGTGACAGTTGATCATAGAAAGCATAAATCATTGTTTTTTTTTAACATTTACAGAGTTACATTGTTTTAGTTATTTAACACAGGAAGAACATTCTCTTAATTTAAACTTAAATAAAAATTATAAATGAATGAACTGTCTTTGTGTCATCAGAGCTTGACTGTGTCACTGGGGAATAAGTCAAACTTGTGTCTCTTCTGCTGCTCAGATTCAGGTTCTAGTTGTAAGTTTTGAATATAACCTATATAATTAATATAATAAGGTTTATGTTGTTTTAGTAGGGTATAGAATGGATGCAAAACGAGCCACATATACATATTCATAATCATATTCAACAAGTGCTGAATCTATCTCCTACTTCAACACTTCAAGTGTCGAATATGATGCCCACTTATGGATGTCTTAGAAATTAAGCTCCTCAGGTTTCAAAGTAAAAAAAATGAGCTCCCCTAATGTTATGAATGAGGGAGAGCTTTCTTTATGTAGTATCGGTGTATCAAGTGTAGTATCGGTGTTAAGTAGAAAATAAACTCTAGTGTGCCCCATATGTATTTTCAGTGTAGTGAGGGGAGATGATGCTGTTAATATACTGTATGTATTCAATTGCCAGTTTATTAGGTACACCTGGCTAAAACTGATTGTCTAAAACAGTCCTTTAACAAATCCTGCCATCATGAAGGTTATAATGTTTAATGTTTTACTGTTCAGAAATTACATTAATGGAATGTGATTAATTGTTTGTGAAGGTCTTTTTTTTCTGACAAGTTGCTCTTTCAGCATCTTTTGGATATAGTTTATTCAATCTGGTGTAACAGTTCCCTGTTATTGTCTTCAGGTGGCACAGTCTGATGAACCAAACATCGACGACATACCGGTTGGGCTCCTCTTGATCAGTGCCAATTCAACAGATGCCACGTTCTTCTGCCCAGAGAGGATTGCGATTGTGCTTGAGGGTAACATAGTTATCGAATGCACCACATTGGCTGACGCATTTGTCATGCTTTTTGCACTGATTTATGCCTTGCACCTAAGTTACCCAAAAGGCTTGGCCAATACATTTGACTTTACCCAGAAAGTCTTGATGGGCCTGGAAGATAGGAAGTTGAGGCCCAGGGTGTTGAGCCTTAAAAATGACATTTTGGCAGTGGAGTAATTTCACTGTATAAACAAACAAAGCTAGCTGACAGTTGTTTGACCGTCAGCTCCTTTAGGGACAGTTGCTCCTTTACTTGAAACTTTTCAAATGCACACGCACTACTGTCTTTTGGGCATACCATAGAACTATGAAAGGATTTATTATTTTTTTTAAGCATCTTATAGTAAAGTTTGATAGTGTTTGTACTGTATGGATGTATGGAAAACATTTTGCCATACTGTTTATACTGCAGTACCCATTTCTTAGGTAATTCAAAGTGTATTAGGTCTTTATGGGGCAGTTGGTAAATCAATGGGCAGAACTGTTTATGGAAATCTTCGATTTTAGCGTGAATGTGATGAAGTACCTTGAATTTGTAAGGTATTTAATTGGCTGAATCAACCAACCACAGACTTTCCCATCTGGTTACTTTATCCATAAAAAGTTTCTTAATTGATTTTCCATAAAAATGACTATCAAGACATATATATTGATAAAAGGACATGCCGTGCATTTGTCCACTCATAGAAGTGATGGTTTAAAAACACTCTATTCCGGCCATTTCCTTAGGCCCTTGCACTATTTTTAAAAATACTGTTATTTCTATTTCTGATGTCACTGTTTGACTTTTGACTGTTTGATGAATACGATTGTGATTAGGGTTCTGTGATGTAGTGTATACTGTGAAAAGTGTCAACCACCAGATATTTTGCCTTTATGCTTATAATGAGTCAAAATGCTTCAATATCTACATTTATTTGGCCATTATGTGTAATGTGCCGAATGGTTTATGGTGATTTTATTTTATTATGATTTTGGCATCAATGTGATGCTGTGCCTAGTCAGGTATTTAATTTACAGATTAACCAAATGCATACACATTTAAAAAACACTGTCACACTATATATCATCACAATGAAAGGTTGCATTTTATTCATATTGTCCACTTCAAGAGGTGATAATTCCTCAGGCCATTTCCCAAGGCTCTTGCACTGTTTTTAAAGTGTTTGTTTCCATTCGCCAAACATTTTTTATAGTTAATGTTTGGTTTATGTTATATGGTTATTCAATAAAAGAGTGACTTCATTTAATCTGGCTGTTAACGTTTTTTTTATGTTTAGGCTACTCAAAATATGTGAAAGTATTTTAAGTTCAAGCTACTTAATACAATTTATGTAATCTGTTTCAAAAAATAATTTAAGTATGCTAACTTGCAATTTGAGTTGAAATCAAGCAGTTTTTAATTATAGGGGAGTTTGTATAGCTTCGTTGAACTTAAAAAAGTTAAGTAACTTTAAAGTGGAAAAATTATTTACTGAGAATTTATATATTTTATGTTAAAGGTAATAAAAATATTTAAGTTAGCTATACTTGATTTTTATTTGTGCTATGATAACAAAAATACCTAGTAAAAAGTACTTAATCAGAAATGTTTCTTTAATTTAAAAAATTATGTGTCACTTATTTAGTTAATGTCAATTAAAATTTTCGATGTAATCTGTTTCAACTATTTTGTTGAGTTGTATTAACTTATCGGGTTTTACAGTGTGATTGGCTGAATGGTGAAAGCCTCCTGATTGGCTGAATGTTAAATCCATCCAAATTGGCTGTTTGTTATATGGATCCTGATTGGCTCATTGCTACATGCATCCTGTTTTGCTGATTGTTAAATCCATCCTGATTGGCTGATTGTTAAGTTCACCTGATTGGCTAATTTGTACATGCGTCCTGAATGGCTGAATGTTAAATCCATCCTGATTGATTTATTGTTACATGCATCCTGTTTCGCTGATTGTTAAATCCATCCTGATTGGCTGATTGTTAAGTTCACCTGATTGGCTAATTTGTTCATGCGTCCTTATTGGCTGAATGTTAAATCCATCCTGATTGATTTATTGTTACATGCATCCTGTTTCGCTGATTGTTAAATCCATCCTGATTGGCTGATTTTTACATGCATCCTGATTGCCTGAATTTTAAAAGCCAACTGATTGGCTGAATGTTAAATACATCCTGATTGGTTGGTTGTTGGATGCATCCTGATTGCCTGAATTTTAAAAGCGTCACGATTGACTGAATGTTAAATACATCCTGATTGGTTGGTTGTTACATGCGTCGTGATTGGCTGAATGTTAAATCCATCCTCATTGGCTGTTTGTTACATAGATTAGTGTGGAGGTGGGTGTGGTTTGCACTCAGCTGCAGGAGAGAGAGGTGTGGGGAAGGCTTGTGAGAGCAGCACCAGGTGAGTTGATTACCTCAGCTGCTAATCGTTGCCTAATCACTCTAACCCTTTATCTTGTAGTAGTGTGCTGGACCTGGGGAGGAGATGCTACTGAGAGCGAGAGCCACAGAGTAGCGGATTGATTGAGTGTTGTTTGTGTTGGTAACAGCGAGACTTAAATAAAAGTTACGTGTACCAACCACCTGGTTCGAGAGTTTGTGTGCTGCCAAGACTCACGGTTGTAGCGAGACCTGCTACACTGGCGCCCAACGTGGGGTAGCACACAGCAATAACAGAACCACAACCACCTATGCAGCAGCCTCCACAGCCGCCTATGGAGCAGCCTCCACAGCTGGTCTCATTGCTGGGGGAAATGCTAGGGGAAATGCTGGGGTAGATTACGACAATACACAGCCAGCAGACAGCTGTGAACAGGCGGCATCTGGAGGCACTCCAGGACCAGGCAGGGAAGCAGGACCAGGCAGGGAAGCAGAACAAGCTGCTTGAGGGACTGCTGACCCGGTCAGGGGAACAGTCACCATCTCCTCCACACTCCGGGCATCACAGTGCACCGAATGACAGCGGTGGATGACCGCCAAATGTTCCTCGAGATGTTGCTGGTAGAAATTAGATACAAGGGTAAAAAGCATACTGTTATGGCTGTGGTTAGTTCCCGCCTGACGCACCCCCTGATTTTGGGCACGGATTGGCCTGGGTTTAATAGATTAGTGGGCCAGTGTGCGGGGGTGCGTTCAGGACTAGTAGGGACATGGGATATGTGCGCTGTGCTCAGTGGTGACGCACGGGTTCCCATGTTGCACTCCACGGAAGATTTTCCACCCAAGCAGTCTCATGACAATACTCTGCGCTTTGCCTTTGACCAAGTGACAAAAATGTATGTTCAGTTGGTGCACCCTGACGCAGCGCCGACATAGCCACACTTCACTTTGGTTAGGAACAGGCTATACAGAGTGAGTCGTGACACTCAGTCAGCAGAGGAAATTACCCAGTTGTTGGTACTGGGAAGCCGCCGGAAAACAGTTTTCCAGGCAGCTCATTTTAACGGGGCACATGGGGTATGAAAAAACACTTAATTGGATAATGGCCCGATTCTATTAGCCTGGCATTCGGGGAGATTTATGCCGCTGGAGTGCGTCTTTCCCCGAATGTCAATTGGTTAACCAACCGGCCATCCCAAGAGCACCTTCGCGTCCATTACCGCTCAATGAGGTTCCATTTGGCATGGACCTTGTGTTTGTCCTAGTGGATTATTATATAACTCGAAATCCAGAAGCAGTGCCCCTGCGCACAATCTCTGCAAAGAGAGTGGCACAGGCACTGTTCCAGGTCATCTGACAGCAGCAATTGGGATAGTTGGCTAGATCCTCTGTTGTCCACTTTCCATCTTCACTTTGAGCAGTGATAGCTGGATAGTGTTGAAAGTACTGGAGAAGTCAAAACATGCTTGCTGATGATTGTTACATACATCCTGACTTGCTGAATTTTAAAGTCTTCCTGATTGGCGTATTGTTACATGCATCCTGATTGGTTGATTGTTATGATGCATCCTAATTGGCTTCATGTTTAAGAATCCTCATTGGCTGAATGTTAAAGACCTCCTGATTGGCTTCATGTTGAATCCATCCTCATTGGCCAATTGTGAAATGCATCCTTATTGGCTTATTTTGACATGCATCCTGATTGGCTGAATGTTAAATCCATCCTCATTGGCTGATTGTTACATGCTTCCCGATTGGCTGATTGCTACATACATGCTGATTTGATGAATTTTAAAGTCTTCCTGATTGGCTGAATGTTAAATCCATCCCCATTGGCTGTTTTTTACATGGATGCTAATTGGCTGAATGTTAAATCCTTCCTGATAGGCTTAACGTTAAATACTTCATGACTCGTTGATTGTTACATGCATCCTTATAGGTTTATTGTTACATGCATCCTCATTGGCTGATTGTTACATGCTTCCCGATTGGCTGATTGCTACATACATGCTGATTTGATGAATTTTAAAGTCTTCCTGATTGGCTGAATGTTAAATCCATCCCCATTGGCCCATTGGCTGTTTTTTACATGGATGCTAATTGGCTGAATGTTAAATCCTTCCTGATAGGCTTAACGTTAAATACTTCATGACTCGTTGATTGTTACATGCATCCTTATAGGTTTATTGTTACATGCATCCTCATTGGCTGATCGTGGCATGCATCCTGATTGGCTGAATATTAAATCTATCCTGCTTAGCTAAATGTTAAATTCATCCTGACTGTTTGATTGATTGTTACATACATCCTGACTGGCTGATTGTTATGTGCATCCTGATTGGCTTAATGATAAATCCATGCTCATTGACTGTCTGTTACATTAGCGGATTTTTACATGCATCCTGATTGGTTGATTGTTAAATCCATCCTGATTGTTAAATTCTTCCTCATGTTCTTATTGTTACATGCATCCTGATTGGCTGAATGTTAAATCTATCCTCATTGGCTGTTTGTTACATGGATGCTAATTGGCTGAATGTTAAATCCGTCAGGATTGGCAGATTTATATATACTTCTTGATTGGCTTATTGTAACATTCAATTCAATTTTATTTGTATAGCGCCAATTCATAACAGAAGTTATCTCAGGACACTTTTCAAATAGAGAAGGTCTAGACCGAACTCTTTAAAACATTAATTACAGAGACCCAACAGTACCACCATGAGCAAGCACTTGGCGACAAGGGCAAGGAGAAACTGCCTGTTAAAAGGCAGAAACCTAGGACAGATCCTTCGGCTCTAGGTGGGTGGTCGTCTGTCTCAACCAGTTGGGGGGAGGGAGAGAGAGGGAGAGGGAGGGAGAGAGAGAGAGAGGGAGAGAGAGAGAGAGAGATGCACAGCAACAACAGTATTGGCAATGGCAATCTAGCAGGACCATGGCAGGAGGCTCCACCAGGATCGATAAGAACCTGCGAGACGAGAAAGCACAAGAACTCCGGGGAAGAAGTGAAGTTAGTAACATGCATTAATGGGACATGAATGAGTGCAGAAAGAGAGAGGAAGAGAGGAGCTCAGTGCACCATGGGAAATCCCCCGATAGTCTAGGCCTATAGCAGCATAACTAAGGGATGGTTCAGGACTCACCTGATCCAGCCCTAACTATAAGCTTTATCAAAGAGGAATGTCTTAAGCCTACTCTTGAATGTGGTGAGGGTGTCTGCCTCCCGAACCACAACTGGAAGCTGGTTCTAATGGGCGTTTTAATGGACTTATTGGGGCAACCTGATAATAAAGAGTTGCAGTAATCCAGCCTTGAAGTAACAAATGCATGGATTAGTTTTCTGCATCTGTCTGTGATAGTATGTGTCTAATTTTTGTAATATTACGTAAATGAAAGAAGGCAGTCTTAGAGGTCTGCTTTATGTGGGAATTAAATGACAAATCCTGATCAAAGATAACTCCGAGATTCCTGACAGTGGTGCTAGAGGACAAGTTAATGCCATCTAGAGTAACTATATCTTTAGACAGGGAGTCTCTAAGGTTTTTGGGGCCAAGAACAAGAATTTCATTTTTTTCTGAGTTTAACATCAGAAAATTGCAGGTCATCCAGGATTTTATGTCCTTAAGACATGTTTGTAATTTAGATAATTGATTAATTTCATCGGGCTTGATTGATAGATATAACTGCGTATCATCTGCATAACAGTGAAAGTTAATGGAGTGATTCCTAATAATGTTGCCTAAAGGGAGCATATATAAAGTAAATACCGTAATTTCCAGACTATTGAGCGCACCTGAATATAAGCCGTACCAACTAAATTTTACATATATAGGCCGCACTTGTCTATAAGCCGCAGGTGTCCACGTTG